CTGGAACAGGTTGCCCAGAGAAGCTGTGGCTGCCCCCTCCCTGGCAGTGTTCAAGGCCAGGTTGGACGGGGCTCTGAGCAACCTGGCCTAGTGGAAAGTGTCCGTGCTGATGGCAGGGGTTTGAAACAAGATGATCTTCAAGGTCCCTTCCCACCCAAACCATTCCATGCTTCTATGATATTTGTTAGAAGCACATGTCATTAGGTTTTGGAATTTGTGAGATAAGGCAGCACTATTGTTTTAGAAATAGCAGGAGTGAGACCTGTTCTGAAGTGATGATATATGCAAGAACCCTGTGTTCTACCCAAAAATTACAGCAGCCTAATAGCAAGTAGGCTATGAACAGTAAAGCCTGTATAAGATAAGAGTAGGTATTTATGCTTGTGTTAGATTGCTAACATGTTAACACCAACAGGTTTTAGTCAGGGAATATTCAATTTCTGTGTAGATCTCTTAAAAAAGAAATTTTTACTGTACAGGAATTGAGAAAGAAAATGGTAATGTAATTGAGAACAGCAATCAGATCTATAATATTTCTAGTGAAAAAGCTTTATCAGTAAGCCTGGGGAACTGCTGAGCAAGGCACACAGAAATATATGCCACAGCAAATCTATAAGCACTACAACAGTATGGAGGAACACAAACTACGTGATGCAAAATGGGAAAACAGGTACTACAGGAATACAAGAAATGTGATGAGGATGAAAGGAAAAAAAACAGCATTGAAGGATGCAATTGAAGGGAAGATTGATATAACAATTAAGTATTAGGATCACACTGATTAAAAAAAAAAAGTGTGGGATCTGGAATTTTTTTGGGGGGAAGAAGGACAAGAGACCCTTGGCAGGCAGAGGTGAGAACCTCATGTGGAACCCCTGTCACACTGGATTTGATCCACTTGTGTGATTTCTTTCTGAGAGACAAGTAACATCACAGATCATTCCACTGTGGATGACTTCAGTTCCCCAAGTATGGCTGGGGGACAACGTGACACAAACATGAGGTGACAAGCTGGGTCCAAGGCCAATCTCAGAAGTCCAGTCAAAACCTCAAAGAAATGCATAAGACAGAGCTGAGAGCAGCTACAGGAACTCGTGTAACTCAGGCCAGGACCACCCAAGTCTAATGGTGCTCCGAGGCCCAAGGTTGATGTCAGGGGTGGGGGTCCAGGTGAGGTTGGTCATGGCAGTTAAGGCCTATTGGATGCCCACAGGGCCCTTACACAAATAGCAATAAGACTCATTTTCTCAGCAAGAAGTGCTTCATCAGTTCTTTTGGTTAGAGCCCAAAGATGGTTTTTCATGAAGGACTATGCTGTTGTTCAGTAACGAAACTAAAAAGCCGCATCTCCAGAATCCAGAGAGATTCCTCCTAAAAAGTGAGATACTGTCTTTTATTCAACCCTAGTTTTTGTACTTAGATACATATCTGAATTTTGTTCATAATAGATTTTTCTTCACAGATTTTCATAGCAATTTTCAAGTAAATTCTGTACTTCAAAGTAAAGTTTTACTCTGGTATTCTGAAATAGGATTTTTTTATTATTATTGTCTAAGAAAGATGAGAAGTTGTCAGGCCTCTTCACTTATCAAATAATTTATATGTGAAAAGTCCCATATGGTTCTGTCAATCCAAGGGAGAAGTGAAATTTGTATCTGAGAGTGGTATAAATTTTCCCTCTAACCAGCACCCTTACTGTTGCCTTTCATCAGCACGGACTCCATGCCATGGCTTGCAGGACCTGCACGGACCATGAGTCCAGAGCAAGTGAGGGGAGAATTTCATATCATCAGCACTTAGGTCAGTAATGCGGCTTATCTGTGCAACTTCCACAGGGACCCATGGTCCACAAGATTAAACCCTCCCTTTGACAGTTCCCATTATTTTTGCTGCCTAGCTGAAGGATGAGTATAACATACAGAGATCCTGTGTCTTTCTCTGCTGGAAACAACTTCTACGTCAGAGGAATAAAGAGACTAATCTAGCTCCTCACCTAAACCACTCCATTTTTCTTGCCCATCTGCTTCTTTCTTACTCCTCTATCCTACTAATGATAGCTCACAAAAAGTGAGGGAGACAAGAGCAACTAGATTCCCAACTTATTTCCCAGTACAGTTGCAAAGGGTGGCAGAAATAAGCCAGAGGTATTACTGAAATGTCTGCCCATGGCCCTAAAACCAAGTTTGCATCAAGAAGCCAGTTAGAGTAATTGTTCTGGTAACTTCTAACATATCAAGTGAGCATAAATGGAGACCAGTGTTAAGTGTATCACTGCCCTTCAGAAGAACTAGGCTTGTGCGTAGTATCCTGCATCAACGACCTTCAATTTGCTTTTCCTAAGCCTTGCAGAGGATACTATCACAGACTTCACAAGGCCTCAGGCTGCTTATATTTAAGTCATTTTTGATACCAGCTGTTCAGCTGTTGTTCTGGTCTGTACCAACCAGTTGTGGCAGAGAACAGGCTGGTATGAGAAGCAAGCAAATGATGGGAGGAAGGAAAAGGAAGACCAAAAAAAAAAAAAAGAAACGTCATAAATTTAAGAGTATGTGTCCTTATCTACACATGACAGTGGCTTCATTTCATAGATATCCTTTTGATAAACTAACCAGAATGAGACTTTTAACTCCCTATTGCTAACACAATCAAAAACATGTCTTACAAAGCATTAAGGAGCCATTTGCTCCTAAAGCTGACACTAAAGGATATGTTTGCACATGTTCAACTCTACTAACTTTACAAGTAGCATTTAAAAGAATGACAAAAGCTTTGCAGGGTAAAAGATTGTTACACACTGTGCTTAAAGAAAACAGATGGGTGTAGTGGGCACTTGCTTTTTGTGTTCTGACCTGCTTTGGATATATTTATCTGTGGACTTTTAGCAATTACAAAGCCCAACTCATTGGCCAATATCCTACAACACCCGATGCTGCTGTTTAGGCATCAACTAAAAAGATTACATCTAGTGTAAAGAACAAACAAGAAGTGTATTCAGAGAATGCTGGAGAGGAAATATAAAAGCCAATTTGCTTTTGTAAACCTCTGTTACACCATAGGCTTTGTGAGTTTATATTTACCCCCCTTTAGTCCAAAAATAAATGTAACAGAAAGAAAAAATAAATAATCAAAGGAAATTATAATGGGGCAGAAGCTGTAGCAGGAAAGAAATTTTCACCTTGACAACTGAGCATGACAGTGGAATAAGACCAGGTAATCACATGGTCTGTCTGGAGATGATGTCAACAGAAGTACATCTCCTTGCTGTATTTGTTGTTATGCAGCTTTCTATTAGGGATTAGACAGTCAAATAAGGGCTGTGTCCCCTGCTATCATTCCCCTGACACTGAACTTGTTTTCTTGTTTCCACCTGTAGGTGTAAGAATGACCCTTCTTCCTCAGCACTTCACACATGAATCTGAGGCAAGTTTATTCCCAAAAGGCTGACTACCTATTGGTGTTTCCTAGCATTTAAAAAAACTTTTAATACATAAAAATTGTGATTCTTTAAGGATTTGGGTTTTTTTAAAAAAAGTTATGTATTTCTTTCATGTGTTCTCTGTATTATGTTCTTTTCAGTTCTTATGTTGTATCACATGATTAACATCTTCAGCAAAGCTCTATTTAAAAACAGGTATTTGAAGTAATTTCTATTGACTTAGAGTTCTCAGCTCATGTTTGAGAGACGACACTTCCTACATTATTGAATACATGTGTAACTTGTGTAAGTAGATGAGTTTAAATTATCATATAGTATAGCAAAACAAGTAACTGTGATTAAGCGGTAGTTCAGCCCAGAAGAACATTCAGAAGAGTATTAAGTAAAATATACTAATATACTGTATGAATATACACTAAATAAAAACAGAAGATAAAAGGGACATCTACTGCCTCTCTCATTTCTTTCGTATTTATTCTTCCATTTATTTGCTAGCCTTGTACTTACTGACAGTGTGATGAAAAGAAACTATTTGTATTTTAGAGAGTTACACCTGTTTATTTAGTAAGGAATCTCGTAGGTGGCATATTCCAGAGTTGTGCAACTAAATAACCCTTAACAGTTTGGAAACTGTGTATTGAAAGAAGATTACCTCCATGCTGTCTCAGCTGTCACTACACATACTATAGGGAGTCATCAAGGTCAGTCATTTTCCTGGCTTGTGCAGCAAACCGAACACAGCCTCACACAGTGTATAAGAAACTTGCCCATTTATCGTAACCTCTACATGGCTTGTCACGGAGATAGAAGAAGTACAGAAGAGGTCAAATGAGATGTAATATTCACTTTTAGCCTGTTTCTCAATTATTTGAAATGGTTGCCTGTTGGCACACTAAACCAAATGGGAATTTGCTCAAGTGTAGAGTTGAGTTGGTCCCTGTGCATTGTGTTGTACTTGGAAGTGAGCAGGGCTTGTAAGACCAGCATTTTTCACAGTATGGGTTGAAGCTTCGCTGTGAGTCACAAAAGCATCCAGAGGGGGCCAGGTGGTGTTGGAGCCACTCAGCCTGCTGCACACACCCTCCCTTGACCAGCAGCAGCAGCAGATTTTCTCTCAAGGAGTAAGAACAAATACTACTCCTTTCTATGATGTCCCAAAACTATAGCTGTAGAAGGCTTGTTTCTTGAAAAATAGCTGGAGATGCACATAAATGTTTTACACACCTGATTTCTCTACTGCTGCATCTGAGCAAGTATGCAGATTAATGCCCTTCTGCAGAGAACACTTCAGTTGAGTTTTTAGAAGTAGTCCCTGTATTCCCCTGATGTCCGAACATCCGTAGTGTAAGGAAGTAATCCTCCTATGTGCCTGACTACAAAAGTCATAAAATAACTGGATGTTTTATGATAAGGAAAATAATGCTTCTGAATGCAGTATGAACTGTTCAAAAGAAATAGAACAGAGAAGACATTAACTTTAGAATACTACTGACCTGACAGCAAATACTGACCTTAATTGTATTTTTAACTAATAGCACCCGTGAACAGAAATATAAGATGTACTGCAATGGAAGATAGCATCTTCAACAACATGAGTGAAGATGATGTGGATAGACTCCTAGTCAGACAAGGGCACTATCCTTTAACTGACCAATTGAAATAGCTGGAAAAAGTACACAAACTTTGGGCATGAATGTTTATCTGAAGGAGGACATATTTCACAGAAGGCTTATCTAGGCTTCCTAACTAGACTAATCTGGAAGAGACTAGCTCTAATTTCAAACTGTGGCTACTTACATCCCTCATCCAGCTCCTCTTGGGCTTTTTTTTTTCTTTTTCTTTCTAAAAAGAGCTTGATCTCAATGTTGCAAACTTTTTGGGACATAATATTTTCATGAAAGCCATTCGAAATTTAACATGACAGAGAGGGTAGAGAAATGGATTCAGAGAAGAATTGAGCCACAAAAGCCAAAAGGTTATTTCATACCAGGAGTTATGGACACAGGTGCCTTGGCAGGCCCCACGAATAATCATCAGTAAAGTGTATGGGGCCCAGCAAATGGCAAAGACACACACAATTATGGCAAGTGATTTCGCTATTTTCTTGTCCTGCTGCAGTTTTGACCTGGTCCTTGCACAGAAGGAAACAGATAAGTCATTTTCTGGGGTTACAGAATTGCCTCTGGATGGAGATGAGCTCTCAGTTACCAAGGACTCTTTCTTTGGCTTCACGGAGGAAGAAACACTGTCCTCTGCTTCTGATGGAGGAGAAAACCCTCCTTGCCTCAGTGAGAAGCAACATCTCCAGGACAGGCTACCACTCCTTGGAAGCTCACAATCCTGCATGCTGCCATGCCGCTGGCGCCTCTGGATGTTGTGGAAGATGTGCACATTGAAGTAGGTCACTGAAAGCAGCGGCACAAAGAACTCCAGGGTGGATGCACACAGGAGGAAGTACCAGTTGTTGAAGAACTCAGCGTAGCACTGATCCGCTGCTACCACGCTGCGTCCGGCCACATACTCCCAAAAGAGGATTGCCGGGCAGTAGAGGAGGAAGGCAAAGAACCAGATGGCCACCATCTTGATGACAGGGTTGGATGTTATTCCTTGCTGGGCTCTGTAAGATACCTTCAAGGGAAAAAAAGTAAAAGGCCTTGCCTGTAGAGACAGGTTTTGGAGCCAACAGAAGTAGCAAAAGAGTAATTTAGCAGAGTGCTTGGTAATTTAGAGCTGCAGCTATGTTGCTCAGCTGAAGCTCAGTCACGTATGTGTAATTTATTGATGTTGACATAGGGGTGTCTCTCTACAAGTTAATGTGACTGTGCTAGCATTCTGGTCGGGATAACGAAATATGATCATCCATCAGTACCAATTTGGTATGCCTTGTTTGAGACATCTGTGGTCTGAAGTGCCAGAGTAATTAGCATTTTATAGTTGTTCAGAGCATGACTCCCATTCACTGACAACTGCACTGTTTTTTACAGCATTTTACAAGCAAATAGGACTATATATGTCACAGTGGTCAACAGAAAATGTGTCACATGTATTTAACACTCACCTTTGAGAAAATTGTTTATTGAATACTTCATGAGGAGGTAGGAATAGATTTCAGCTCTGCAATTCAGCCTCTAGCTGATGAAACACAAAATCATCCCTTTTCTTCCTTCTCCCCCCAATTTGGGGCCAGTACATATTGCAGAACAGACAGATATACTGCTGCTTACACCCTGCTCCATCCCTTTCACAGGATGACAGGCTGAATGTGTAATTCTGGGATATCCAATTAAAAAAAATCTAGATATCCAATTTAAAAAAAAAAAAAGGTATGTTAATGTCATTAAAGACTATCAAACAAATGTCCATAGGTCTTGATTACACTTGCGCAGGTGGTCTTATTTTTGCACTTTGCAAATGCATCTTTGGCTTTCCAGTGTAATATTTCCTATGTGTTTTGGGGTTTGATTTCCCAGATTTTTCCCATAAAATAAAATAAAATAAAATAAAATAAAATAAAATAAAATAAAATAAAATAAAATAAAATAAAATAAAATAAAATAAAATAAAATAAAATAAAATAAAATAAAATAAAATATGTAATTAAAAAGGCAATTATAATAAGCTAAATTAATGATAATCAACAAAAATAAAACTGAAATTCTACCATATGATGACACTGACATTCTCATGAATCACCAAGAGCTGGAACCTTTAGATCTCCCTGACATTTCCCTACCACTTGAGCTAATGGCATGGCTAGTGAGAAATGTTGGTCTCCATTCTTAGCATGAACCAAGACATAAAACGCACGTAACGTGCGTAGGATGCTCTGCAGAAAGCAGAGACATAGAGTGCATCTAAAGTCTGGGGTTCTCCTCCAGGTACTGAGAGGAGTTTATTGCGGCATGTTCACAGGCAGTCACTGCAGCCTTCCCTTGTCCCACTCTCTGCCTTGTTTGGTCTTGCTCTCAGTCTTCTCCAGGTTGTTTGGGACCATGTCTCAGGTCTAGACAACCTCCCCAGAGTCCTTCACTTCACTGCCCTACCCCCACTGTCTTTTCCTCCAATGCCTGATTTTAGGTCCAAACCCAAATCCAGTTTACTTTGAATGTCCTCTTTCCTTGCCCCCTTTTTACCAGCCTCCTGCCTTACTTACCCTTTTCACACCTCAGCCTGCTTTCCCTGAAGCAATAGCACAACAGCAACCTGTGGCAGAAATTGTGAGAGAAGTCCTGTTTGGCTCTGAGCTGGAGCATGCTCAGTGCAGAATATTCACCACCTCTAGCTGCAAATATCTAACAACCTCCACACATTTTCGAGAGCTATTATCTCAATGAAATTTGGGTTTACACTCTGCAACATGACAGAGGTTGGTGAGTATAATCCTCTAAACATCTTGCGACATAATCAGAGAAGCTATAAACAGGGTACTTACAGCTTTAGTAACTGACAGGAAACGGTCATAGCTGATAAGAACAATGTTAAATACTGAAGCTGTGCACAGGAGATAGTCCATAGCTAGCCAGAGCTTGCAGACACCTCTTCCCAAGTGCCATTTCCCCGTCAGGCTGTAAGGGATGTAGAGAGGCATGCAGAACACACCTATGGAAAGCAACCACAGATACAGCATGCAGTTCATATGGACTGCAAACAGTACTCCTGGAAGCAGAGAGAGACACTACTGTGGTATTTGGCTAAAAAGAAAAAAAAAAAAAAATCTATTAAAACGAATAGGTAATTTTTATATAGAAATTCTTACATTCTTAGGAAATCTGATTGTGTCTTTCTATGTATTAAGTCTTAGTGTATTTATGAGCAATCTGGTCTACTGGAAGGTGTCCCTGCCCGTGTCAGGAGGGACATTGGAACCAGATGATCTTTAATGTACCTTGGAACCCAAATCATGATTCTGTCATTATGTATACTGATTGTTGGGAATAAGCTCAAGGCAAATCAGCAAAGAAGGATCTGATGAAGAAGAAAACTGAATTCTGACCAACTTGCAGTGTCTAAAGGTATACAGTCAATGCTGCAGCATATACACACTGTGGTTGCACTCTGACATGTAACCTCATCACTGTACACCCTCTAGTCTATCTGTGTCAGAGTTTTCCCCCAAACAAATCTACAGATGTTGCTAATGTCGGTTATTACTGTAAGATTAGTTAGCATTTGTAAGGTAGAGGCAATATATTGGACAGTCTGTGTGGTGTCTGGAAAACTCTTCTATCAGAGATAGGGCAGACACAGCTGAGGTATGAAACCCTCTCCCATTTTTAAGGGGAGTTTAAATCTTGTGCTTGTTCTCCAGCCACAGTTAACTCCAGAACTATTTTTTGGTTTGTTACATTTGTGTTTTTGTCCAAAAGGCCTTCCACTGAAGCACTTTTATGAGAAAGTTATGTTCGTGTTTTAAGCCAGCAACTTCTTAATTTTACCACTAATATTCTTTCAAAAGTGTGGTGCAATATCTGATGCTACATTCCTGAAAATGCTGATCTATCAGATCCAAATAGGAGACTATATGCAACTTCAAGACCCACTTTAAACTCTTCAGATTATTCTTTTCTTAATATGTCCATCAGGTTCTTGGAAGTTACTGAACATAACCAGGCTAATGTGGCCCACTGAAAATAAATCTCTGGACAATGAGCTGACAGACTGTTTGTTATCCAAGGAAATGTGCACTGCACTTTCAGTACTGATGGCTTCTTTTAATGTATAGCTTAAATACAAGCAGCACCTCTTTTGTACAAAATACTCATTTTTCATAGTTGCTGATGACAGCTACTGTTCTCATCAACTTTAATGGGATCAGTGTTTGGCACCATGTCAAAAAGTAATGACTGCTTTTAGCTGTGGATATAAATACAGATGCAAAAAAACAAATTTTAAGCATTTATATTTGAAACTATTCTCACTTACTAATTAGTGGATGCAAAATACATGAGTCACATGCCTGGAAAGATTCCAGACTTCTAAGAAATTTTAAAAAAATACCACAGCAGCTTCAAAAAAACTATTTTCTGACTGATCTCAGAGACAAAGTCTTAGATTTGCATAGTCTATAGGCCAACATAATATTGATACCAATCATTTCTTCTTGGCTAATTTAAGACTCTGTGAGGTACCAGCCACAAACAAGAACTGATGTATATGGTAGATATTTAAATCTCTTGACTAAACTGTAAGATACAAGGAGAAATAGACTTTTGCAGGAGACCTGAGCAATGAAATGGCAGCTCTAGCAGGTTGTCTGTCTGGAGCAGGAAAGTAAAGGCTCCAGCCACACAACATTTGGTTTCTGCCCCATAAGGCAAGACCCAGAATTAGGCACTACAGGTTATAAATAGCATAAATGAAAGAAAATCTTAACAGTTAAACTAATACACTTCACTACACAGCACTGACAATGGAACAGCAGTTAGGGGGAATAGTACTGCCAGAAGTGGAGTAGGTCAATGAGTGCTATTTCCCTCCTTGTGATTCAGTGAATACTGGTCTTAGTGACTGTGCTGAAAAGGAAGCACTTGTGTGCAGAAATACCTCCCTGCTAGCCTCAAGATGCTTGCTGAAACGCCTGCCACAGGACCATGGTTTTGTCAGGCTTTCTTTGCTGCATGGGCTGTTTCCTTGGTCTGAACCCTGAGGGAGCTCTGCATAAGGCATTCACGCCCCCCACCTCCTCGCCTGGCATCACCCATCAGGACCAGATCCATGGCACCTCCAGGGACCAACTCTCCTGGACTTCTGCAATAACAGTATGGGAAGAGGGGACTAATAAGAAAAACAGATGGGAGATGCCAGCAAGCTGTTGCTGGTATCAAACAATCCATTTGATCTATAGCCTGCATTGAGTTGAAGCCAGTAAAAATTCACAGCAGTAGTAGTGTTTTGTGGTGGTGTAGTACACTCATAAGACACTAGTACTATGTAGAGAAGTAATTAATTTACCTGGATGTACCACAGATAGCTGTATAAGAAAACAGTTACACTGTCAAATGGAAGGATGTTCTGAAGAGTGTGATGAACAATCTTACAGGAGAAGCAAAGGTAAATCATAAACAACCTCTTTCCTTCAATTGGTATTTACATACAATAGTTGCTCCTTTTTCCTGAAGCAACATTACAAGTATTTATAAAAAAAAAAAAAAAGGATGCATTTCTCATGATAACATATTTTGAGACATAATAGGCTGCTAAACACTTCATGTTGCTTCCACTGTTCCTTACCCTCCCACTAGACACACAGCTGGGAAAGGGTTTCTCTTAGAAGAAACCAACCAGAAAACAAACCCCATTGCTTCTCATAAGATTCCTAGGAAACCAATAGTACATGACTCCACGGTTACAACTTACCCACTGCAAAGTCAGAAATAGCGAGATTGAGAAAGAAATAGTTACTCCGATGCCGGAGGTTTCTGTCCATGATGAAAGCAAGGATCACCAGGACGTTTCCAAGGATGGTCACCAGAGCTAGCAACACCATGAGGAAAGCCAGCAGCACCAACACACCCAGTGAAAACTCAGAGCTCGGTGACTGCGTGGACAAAGTCTCATTACACGTTCCATCTGTATGTGGAGTTTCGGCAGTGCTGCTGTGCATGTTGTGTATCCAGGTCAGTTCAGTCTGAGAAGAAAGCTGCATCTGGCAGAGTTATCGAGAAGGTTAGGACAAGTCTATTAACAGGCTGGGCTGAATACTGACACATCCAAAAAAATGTACAATATCAAAATAATGGACCACAAGATTTCAAGGCCTGGAGTCTCTAAACATTCCTTGATCTAAATGCATCTATTGGCCTGAAAACAAAATCTAAAAAGACACCTCATAAACAACAGCAAGTTCACACTTTAAAATAAATTATCTTTCTCTCCTGAGCGCTGATCCTTATCTACTGAGGTCAAAAAAGTTAGTCTGAAAACAACTCTTTTCACAGTCAAGCGGGTTGCATATTAGCATTGTGTAAGCTTTTTTACACATTGTATTCTGCTGAAGCTAAAAACAGATCTCATTTTCACTTCCCCAGTCGTCTACAGGATTTAAATTATTACAATTCTATTTCTCTTACAGTAAAATGTAGGCACTGTTGCGCTTGATACTATACCACCAAATTTTATATTTAAAAACAGATATATATTTCTTAATGCTGTTGTTTACAGAACATTTAAAATTAGTTATACACAGCAGAAGTATCACCAATACCTTTTCAGCTAATCCTGATCAGAAGCAAGTCTAGCTCCGGGCACAGCAAACTAAATACCTGGACTTTGGAGGGCTTTATAACCGTGGCCCACCTAATCCTCCACTTCTCAAGTAATTCCAAGTAAGTTTCCACTCCAAAAAGTGCCAAATCCTTATCCCTTTCCAGGTGCAGGAAGGCATATTCCTTCCTCACCATAATTTCATTTATTTTGATAAGAGTGCACAGAAGTTGGCAGGCCGTGGCTGTGACTCATGCTTGCAACTCACCAGCTCCTTAGCACCACAGCACACCCTGTGACCAGCTTTTTGGACTGCAGCCCTAATGCAGCGTGCTTGAGAAGATGTAGGGCAAGAAACAAGGAAAGAGAGGGTGGGCGAGATGTGAGGAAGAGAGGTGCAGTGCTCTGATCGTGTCTTGAGGAACAAAGTGAAATATATTGTAAAGAGTAATTAAAGCAAAAGGTGTAGGGCAAAAGGAACAGAAGAGATCTCAGGAATGATAATCTGGCAAACAGAAACCTGCCTCAGGTGCATGTGCACAAATGCAGACTGGGAAACACACAGGAGTAACTAGAGTTCTCTGCGCAGTCACAAAACCACCAGTCACAAAGCCAGTGATATCAGTGACATGGTGGCATGAGCGTATTGGAAGGCACCCTGATCAGAGCAAGGGAGGTGATGAAGTCTTCTTTAAGCAAATCAAGGAAGCCTCAGGATGGAAATACTGAATGGGCCAATGGGGCTGACAGAGCTAAATCATCTGTTCACTGATAAAGAGGAGCTGGTTAGGGATGTGTAATCAGTGGCAGCCTTGGCTGTAGTGACTATGAGGTAGTGGAGTTCAAGATCCTAAAGGGGGTGAAAAAGGAGAGTAGCAGTATAGACCATGGCCTTCAGGTGAGCAGACTTCAGTTTATTCAAAGAAATGGTAGGTGGGATCCCATAGGAGGCAGCTCTGGAGTGCAAAGGAGCTCAGGGAACTTGCAGGCTTCTAAGGACAGCAGCCTGTTGATGGAGATGTACAGGACAAGTAGATGTACCAGGACACCAGTGCAAAAAGGCAGCATGAAGGAGTTTGAAACAGGGACAGGCCACAAAGGAGGAATTTAGAAATGCTGCCTGGCAACATAAGCATGATGTTAGGAAAACCAAAGCTCACCTAGAGGTGATGCTTGTAAAGGACATAAATGACAACATGAAGAACTTCAGCCACCCCATTAACAGTAAAATATTGAGTAAGAAAAATGTAGGTGATTTGCTGAATGGGGCCAGTGAGCCAGTGACAGCATATGCAGATAAGGCTGAGGTACCCAATGATATCTTTGCTTCATTTTTCACTAACTAGGTCTCTTTTTCCTCCATGCTTAGTGAATGAGTTCAAGGAGGAGACCTGTCAGGAGCAGATGAGAATCAGGCAGGGATTACTTGAGATGACATGACCCATAGGAGTCCATGGGACCCAAACAGCTGCACCCAAGGCTGCTGACAGAACCAGCTACCATCCTTGCAGGGTCACTTTCTATCTTCTTTGAAAGGTCATGGAGATGAGTGCAGGTTCCCAACAACCAAAGAAAGGCTAATGTTGCAACCATCTTCAAATGGTGCCACAAGGACAAAAGATCAGCCTCTCTTTGGACCCTGGGAAAATAATGGAGCAAGTCCCCTTGGAAGGGTGGGAACAGTCAGCATGGGTTTACCAAGGGTAAATCATGCCTGAGAAACTTGGTTGCCTTCTTTGATAAAATTACTAGATTAGTGGAGAAGGGGAGAGTAGTAATTTGCTTTTAAAAATTAGGTAATAAATCAAATGTTGAAGTTTTACTCATAGTCTTTCATGGGGCTGAGGGAGAAATCTGTGTGGTCTCTTCTTCCTTCCTGTGGAGGAAAACCATAGCCTAACATGAAGGAGACAGATGTCAGGAGAATCATTAGGGTTAAATACTCATGCCAGAAATAAACAAACAAAAGATAACACAATTGCTTCCAACATGTATGTTTTATTTGGGGTTTATTTTTAAGACCTAAGAGGGTCAAGTTGGAAAAACACTACTGTGGTTTGAGTTGCACCTCGCAGAGTCATATGCTTACTGTCACCAGGTATTTACAAGACCTACCGACATCTGCAACGACAGAAGAAAATTCAAGAACATGAAATGATGAAATGGATGAGTGAGTGGATAGAGAGATTTGGCTTAGAAATCACTTTGGCAAGCAAAGTCCGTTTGTGTCAGTGCATGAAAAGTACGCCCAAGAACAAATAAGTAATAAGTATTTTACCATAACCCCGCAAAATGTCCAATAGGGAAAAGACTTAGGATGCCACCTTGACCGAGACAGCTTTAATTCTGTGAGCACAGCAACTAAGTGCTTGACTGACCCTGGGAGCACTAAGCAAAATTCCCAACAATTAGAAAAATACAACAAATTCTTTAAATACACAGGAGCGGTGTGACTAAACAGTTTGAACACTTGGTGTGTAATATAGAACATCAAAACCACTGATCTCTAGTAGCTTCTCTACTCTATGTGGTTTCAAATTTGCCACACCGTGTGCTCCCTGACAAACTAGTTCTGCAGTACTGCAAAACGTGGATACAGTTTACCTAGTCAATCATTTTGTAGGCCATTTTTCTAAAGTAAACATCACCTTCTTTAATCACAAAATGCAAACCGAATTTTTATACTAAAAGCATAGGGACAGGAAAGCAACTCAATTTTGGGCCTACCTACAGTTTCTCTCTTTAACAGACGTTTATTTAGTACACCTGCTATTCTATAAATGTTTTAGATGTGTGTGTTTGGGGGTTTTCTAAGCCTCACAGAAAAACAAAGCCCACAGAATCTATTCCAGCACCTTAGTTCATGACAGTGAAAATAACTGTGCTAAATCAATGACTTCCTAAAGCTGTATCTCTCTTAGCAGTCAGGCTCACAACCCATAACGCTATCCGTGTGAGGCAAGGAAGCATAACAAGAACGAGAGCAAAAACTGACAAGAGAAGTATTCAGTTCCAGACCTCTGAACAGAATGGCATTTTAGCTCCTCAAAGCTATCAACTTTTGTGCTATGATTAAGCTGTTTACACGCATTTGAATTGTGCTTGCAAAAGTCTGCTTTTGCAACACTTCTACTTCTTCAAGTTAGATAAAAAATACTATTTAAGTTGGCTATCGCGCTTCATTGTTCTGTGCCTAAGATTTCTCTTTCCATATTTTATACATTTCTATCTACAAAAAGAAAAGAAGATTACATATAAGGAGAGGAAAAAAAAAACCCAAACAACAACAAAAACAACCCCCCCAAAAAAAAACCAAAACCAAACCAAACAAAACAAACCCAAAACAAACAGTGACTTACCCATCCATGAAGGCCTTCTGGGTGAGTTGCAACACCCAACACAAGGTAAGAAAGTCTGGCACATGGAATGGGTTATAATCAAGCTCCATTACCTTCTCCAACACATCTACCCACTCCTTTCAGCACCGCATATTCAACTGCTTTGTTTATTTACAGCTGCTTAAGACACCTCTATGTCAGCTTTTGGACCTCTGTGAATCCCATTCCCAAACTGTGAATATGGCCCTTGTTCAGTGATAGAAAAAATCCAGTTTGATACTGGTTCAGTGGCAGAGAAAATCCATATAATGTCACAGTAACAGGACACAAAGAACTGATCTGGTATAAAAATCACTCTGTCAGTTCAAATTTGTTCCAGACATTTTGATGGAATATCTTTGCACTTGCAAAGCTTTACACCCAAGTGGGTATTGTCTATTCTCGCACAGCCAGCCAGAATCATAAATCCAGTATGAACTTTGTATTGCTTGCTCTGCTAATTCAACAGGAATGTGATCATGTGCCCAAGCCTGGCCAATCTTGTAGGTAATCAAATAGTGCGCAAATCTGGCACTAAATATCATTTAAGCCTGACCAGAAGCAGGCACTGTCAGGAGAAAAGACAGTACTGGTGAAAATAGTAACAACCATTTATGACTGTGACAATTTTGATAACCAATCTCAAAATTCCATTATCATGGAAACTTTCATTCTCTGAAAATCATCCAGAATTACTACCTTACATGTACTGTGTCCCGCAAAACATGGACTATATTAACAATATGGACTATATTAAAATTAGAAAAGGACAGATATGCCAGATTAGGCTGTCTTCACTTGCATATTGCTCACTGTGGGAATTATAATGACTACAGGACACTATCTTGTCTTCATAGTAGTCTTTAAAATGAAAGTATACTGCTGCGGTGACTATTTATACAACCTCTCAAAAATGTAGCACAACTGCTTCTTCACTGGTAGCTTTAGGCTCACAAATAGGATATAAATTTTAACTCAACACATACACAAGCAGCTATCTCCCTCCAATGAACGTCTATGGAGATAAAAAAAAAAAAAAAAAAAAAAAAGTTGCCTCAAACCCACAAACCAAGGACATCCAACAAAACTTGTTATTCTTTTTAATGCACTAGATGGTGTTTAACCTGGCATCATATCAGCAAAAACAAAAACAAGATCCTGAAAGCTACCAATATCAGGGCAAATACATACCTCTGCTGCACTCTTAACCAAGGCCATTGGCAAACAAAAGTTTTTTCTCTATTTCTGTTGGAGACACATATGAAAAGATAGCACTAAATAAGAGAGGAGCCTTATCTGTAAGTCATTTATTTTAACTGTCTAAATAGAAGGTGTGTTACGTGATCTCAATGTTGCAAGCTTTTTGGGGCATAGTATTTTCATGAAAGCCATTCGAAACCTCATATGGCAGAGAGGGTAAAGAAATGGGTTCAAAGAGGAATTGATCCACAAAAGCCAAAATGTTATTTCATACAAGGAGTTATGGATGCACTTTCCTTGGCAGGCCCCACGAATAATCATTAGTAAAGTGTATGGCGCCCAGCAGATGGCAAAGACACACACAATTATGGCAAGCGACTTTGCTATTTTCTTGTCCTGCTGCAGTTTTGACCCAGTCCTTGAATGGAAAGAAACAGAAAAGTCCCTTTTGAGAGCTGTGGAACTGGTTTGTGTTGGAGATGGACAGTTAGCTATCACTGCTGGTCTATATGACCTCGTTAATGATGAAACACTGTCCTCTGCTTCTGATGGAGGAGGAGATGCTCCTGGCCTTGGCAAGAGACAAAATCTCCAGGACAGGCTGCTGCTCCTTGGAGGCTCACAGTCCTGCGTGCTGCCACGCCGCTGGCGCCTCTGGATGTTGTGGAAGATGTGCACGTTGAAGTAGGTCACTGAGAGCAGCGGCACAAAGAACTCCAGGGTGGATGCACACAGGAGGAAGTACCAGTTGTTGAAGAACTCAGCGTAGCACTGATCCGCTGCTACCATGCTACGTCCAGCCACGTGCTCCCAAAAGAGAATTGCCGGGCAGTAGAGGAGGAAGGCAAAGAACCAGATGGCCACCATCTTGACCACTGGGTTGGATGCTATTCCCTGCTGGGCTCTGTAAGATACCTGTGAAGGAAAAGGACATATATCATGTATTCAGACAACATTTTGGAACAACTATCTCAAAAAAACATGACAGTAAGTCAAATATAATATTTGTTCCATAATTTCCCAGACACCTAGAACATCTTCACTTATGTAAGGTTTTGAAAAACTCTGTTAGTCTTGTTCATCAATTACTGTAGGTCTGTGATTGATTTTAATACTTGGGATTGGAGAGGAGCAGAAATTATGATGGCTAAATTACCATTTGGCTTCCAGGTGTAAAAGGACATGAATTGTTTTCATCACCACCACAGTAAGGTAGCAATAAGGAATCAGTTTATGATTTAAGAAATGCCCAGGCTCAGAGGAGAGCAAAAGCAGATGTGGAACTTCCTGTGCAGGCAAAAGTAGAAGCCTTCTACATTAGACAGGTTACCATGTGAGACTGCAAACACTAGAAAATGTAATTTTTAATACTGTTTCCTCTTGCCACAGCAGAATAAATATCCCATGCATATGCTTTAACACCCTTTATTTTATTGAAACATTCTGTTTTAACACTCGCTTTACCTACAGCTCATTGCATTGCTACAAATCTTGACATTTTTATGTCTACCTGGACTGCATTAATTTATTTTACTCTTACTTAGGCGTAAATATCTATCTTTGAAAAAAAACATTAAGAACTAAAATCATGTCATCCAAAGTTAGGAAATAGAAGAGTTAAAACCTCCCTTGTAATAGCCCAGCCAGCGTGGACAATACATACTTCTAGATCTGGGTCCCCTGCATCTTTCAGAGCACAAGGTGATCCATTAATGAGAAGATTGACAATTTTATTTCCTCCATACTGTTTAACACATGTTATCCCAGGCTCTACTCAGACCCAGAACTACTACCTTCCTCATCAGCTTCGTATGCTGTTTATTAACATAGCATCTGCTTGCATACAAATATTAATGAAAGGTATCTTCACAGCTGCATATGACATGAGGGGCATTGTCCCTCTTTTACCAGTGAGTAACAGAGCAGTAGTGCAGTGTTACACACATTATTTTAGATACTCTGTTTTAAACATCTGTAGCCGGAAGATTCAGACTCTTCTACATCTTAAAGCGTCATATTAGCTCAGAGCAGAGCTCCAGTTCTGCAATAATGATTTTGCAATAATGATTTTGCCCTTTACAAGGCCATAAGCATCTCAATTTAGTAGGCAGAAAACAGGAAGCTCAGCATAGCTTCACAAACAGCTAAGTCTGAAATGACTGGCCCCTGGCCATAAACTAGGTTTGCAGCATAGGTGGATCCCAGGTCCATAAGGAAACATGATATCTTTTCTTTGGATAACAGCCCTATGTTACACACTGCTGGGCTCACTCCATCCTAATTACCTAAAGGAGAAAAACAGAATATGATCATGTAAACGAAGACTATCAACAGTGTGTAAGAACATGAAGTTCAGTTGGGTTGCAGAAGCCTTTTTAATTTACATTTCTCACATTCTGAGCTCTGCAACTTCATTAATATTTTTCAGTATTATTGTTACTTAAATACAGGGATTTTCAGACTTTATTGTTGAGCTTTAAAAAAAAAAAAAAGCAGCAACAATCAACCCTAAAACCACAACACTGCGGATGAAGAGAAAGAGATTAGGCACTGTATCAGCACTTCCCAAACAAGAACCTCCCAATCTAACACAGCCCATGTCACTCAAGCTAGCAGTTTAATCAAAAGCAAAGGATGCTGATTGTCTTTCATCTGGATCAAACACCAGGTAGAGCTTAAAAATGGTGAATGATAATATTTACCACTGGATTTCTCGGATATCTTCTGAAGCAGAAGAATGATAACACACAAGAAACACCTCTTACCTCTCCTCATATTTTGATTCTTTTTTTTTTTTTTTTTGCTTCAAGGGATTAGTTTCCACCCAGCTGCTTGTTGGCAGCACATGTCAATCACCACCCACAGTAACGCAGATCCTCATCTGATCTTCAGTCAGTTCATACCATATCTCTCTTCATACCCTCTTCTCCTTTTAAAATTTATACCAAGCCTAAGCACAGCTTTGATTCAAACTAGTTTTCTTTACCAGTCTTCCAATGACCAAAGCCCAAATTCTCCACACTCCTGCTGCCCCTTTCTGACCTTGACCTTCCCACATTCTCTGTAGTGTAATTAAATTTCTAATCCAGACAGCAGGATGTAAATATTGAAATCATAGGCAGGACATTGTCCTATATCTAAGTCCCAATGCAACACTGAAGCATCAGTATTTCTCCAGGAAAAAGAAAAAAAAAAAAAAAAAAGATATAATAATGAAGGTCTATTTAGCTTCCAATGTTAATTATGAACACTCTGAGTTTTACGGAAATCTCAATATATATATAAAGCAATAATTAAAAGTGTTCTTCTTACAGCTTTTGTAACTGACAGGAAACGGTCGTAGCTGATAAGGACGATGCTAAACACTGAAGCTGTGCACAGGAGATAGTCCATAATTAGCCAGATCTTGCACAGGCTTCTTCCCAAGTGCCACGTTCCTGTCAGGGCATAAGGGATGTACAAAGGCATACAGAACGCACCTATGGAAATAAACCAAATGCACACGTCAGTCATCACTGCAGGCAGTGCTTGTGAAAGCATAGAAACATTTCTGCAGTATCTGATACAAGCACGATAATGACTGGAATTGCCATGTGGAAAGCATTACATGAATGAACAGTTTACTACAAACTAGGCACCAGTAACATCCTTATAATTAATACCTTTCTAAAGGTGTATCATGTTTATTGTGTATCATTATTACTTCTCCTGTTTATATCACCTCCTACAGGAAGAAGCAGCTGATGTTTTTACCTGCTGAAATAAACACTATTCTGTATTAAGTACTGAAATTAAAATAAACAGAAACATATTTCCTCCCCAATGTAATTTACTGTTTTCTACAATAAATTATCTAAGTGCCATGCTTCTGTCCTCTTAGAAGCATGATATGATGTCCGAGAGAGTTCTAGAAGTAACTTTTATAAAAAATACAATATGAATTTCAGACTAATATTTAAAACTATATGATCAAAAGGCTGACAAAAATTGCACAGTTAATTTAGTACACCCAGTCTAACATTTCTTCTCATCATAATACTTGATCATAACCACTTAGTCAGCGGTGAGCTAATAGGGTATGATCTATGGGAACACACCAAGTGGTGGGAACATACATGAGTGACCTGCATCTATGGCTATCTAAGTTTAGGCTGTTCGATTCAAATGCTGTGAAAGCGCTAATATGATCTCCTTCTAATGAATTTCTAGGTGATCACACTACACAGAGTCACAATGCAGCCTTTCAAGGCTGAAGACCTAACGGCGTAGTTTGCTATGATGCAGAAATGCAGTGAACAGCGTCAAAGCTGCAATGAAATGGAATCACTGCATCTACAGAGCAACTAACACTTCCTCTTTCAAGCAAAAGTTTATATTATAGGTTTTAACATTCACGGAGGGGGGGGAAGGGTATTGTTTCAACTTTAGATTTACTTCATAATAGTGTGTACTCCTGTAACAGGTACTGAAGAGTATCAAGAGTTTCCATTTCCCTAAAAATCTTATGATACCTGTTATTCTCCCTCTACTAAGAATCAAGATTTTTAATCTGTCCAGAAGCACAGGGATAAAGCAAAAGTTGATGAAGGTCAAAGTCAGATAGATTAAATGTATTAAAAGAATAAGCAAAGGGCTCTGCAAGCATGAAAGTATGTACTTCTGGCAATTAGGATCAAGCAGAAATTAAGGATAATTTAGGTACACTCCAATGCTAAATTATGAAACTACAGAAATACAAACCAGTTTGACTCTAAAGTAGGCAAAGCTTTTAACCAAATCTGGAATGAAAAGCTAGACATTCAGGTAAACAGAATACTACAAACCAAAAAATTATGGAAGTAATGACAAGTAGGCTCTACTTCCTTCTTTGATAGAAAACATTATTTACTTTGTATTTCTCAGCTAGATGCTGATATTTATTCAACATGATGCTATATTGTGAGCCAGATAATAGAACACCACTCTGTCTACTGGTTTTCTGTTCACTGCTGTGTTTTCCTGTGTGCCGTAGCCAGACAGCAGTCAGCAAGAGCTCTGCAGCACAAAGCAATTATAAGCTGGCAGACATCAAGTATGTGGGGGAAGGGATGAAAACTTTATACAAGGAGATCTGGACATGACAAGGACCTGACTATTAGAAGCCATGCCCTTGATAGAACTTCTGGCACCGGCAATAAATTTTAAGAAGAGTTTCTTCCGTTTTTTCAGTATCCTTTTTAAATGTGTAGATAAAAAAAGTAGAATAAAAACAGTTTTTAAAAGATTTTGTTGTGATGTCACAAGTCAGAATATAGATTTCATGAAATAGAAATGTTTTTAAAACCTTCCTTCTTCATACTCAATAATTTAACTGACTTTTACCAGACACTCAACACTTCACAGAATATTGCAATACATGAATCTCCAGTTGCACATCAACCTAGCATTTTAATTGTAATTTTTCTCAGGACAAATTTTAAAATAAAATGTCTCCCTATGTATAAATATATATACGTATAACATCAGACTTCTTAGAAACTGACTTGTTACATTTATTTACCTATACAAACACATATTCCTAAAATATGACTCTAGATAGAGCATATTCAGCAACACGTTTTCAAGTACTATTCATCACTCTTTTGAAGCAAACTACAAGTGATTATCTGTATTGTGTGAGAGTACATTGAAACAGAAGATATCACAGAATCACAGAATAGTCTAGGTTGCAAAAGACCTTAAAGATCATCCAGTCCAACCATTAACCTAACATTGACCGTTCTCAAATATGTCACAATATCCCTCAGCGCTATGTCGACACGACTCTTAAACACCTCCATGTGCAGCCCATTCCAACACCCAACAACCCGTTCTGTAAAGAAATGCTTCCTAATATCCAGTCTAAACCTTCCCTGATGCAACTTGAGGCCATTCCCTCTTGTCCTATCGCTTGTTACTTGGTTAAAGAGACTCATCCCCAGCTCTCTGCACCCTCCTCTCAGGTAGCTGTAGAGGGCGATGAGGTCTCCCCTCAGCCTCCTCTTCTCCAGACGAAACACCCCCAGTTCCCTCAGCCGCTCCCCGTACAACCTGTGCTCCAGACCCTGCACCAGCTTCGTTGCCCTTCTCTGGACACGCTTGAGTCATTCAATGTCCTTTTTGGAGTGAGGGGCCCAAAACTGAACACGGGAATCGAGGGGCGGCCTCACCAGTGCCGAGTACAGGGGTCAGATCCCTTCCCTGTCCCTGCTGGCCACACTATTGCTGACACAAGCCAGGATGCCATTGGCCTTCTTGGGCCCCTGGGCACACTGCTGGCTCCTGTTCAGCCGGCAAGATCAGCCATGTGTGCAAGATCTGCCAGATAATATATGCTGTATTCGATTTCATTATCTAGACTTCAGGCAAGACTCCCACAAACAACACTCATTCTTTGTTATTCCACATAGATTAATGAACAGTAGTGTTTTTTCCTAAAGAAATAACATTAAACATTACCTGTTTATATGACAAAGAATCCATTTCTTTCTGGAAAATAATAGGCTGCCACCATACTTCATGTTGCTCCCACTGTTCCTTACCCTCCCACTAGACACACAGCTGGGAAAGGGTTTCTCTTAGAAGAAACCAACCAGAAAACAAACCCCATTGCTTCTCATAAGATTCCTAGGAAACCAATAGTACATGATTCCACGGTTACAACTTACCCACTGCAAAGTCAGAAATAGCAAGATTGAGAAAGAAATAGTTACTCCGATGCCGGAGGTTTCTGTCCATGATGAAAGCAAGGATCACCAGGACGTTTCCAAGGATGGTCACCAGAGCTAGCAACACCATGAGGAAAGCCAGCAGCACCAACACACCCAGTGAAAACTCAGAGCTCGGTGACTGCGTGGACAAAGTCTCATTACACGTTCCATCTGTATGTGGAGTTTCGGCAGTGCTGCTGTGCATGTTGTGAATCCAGGTCAGTTCAGTCTGAGAAGAAAGTTGCATCTGGCAGAGTTATCGAGAAGGTTGAGATTCATAAACAAGACCCAAAAATCCAATAAACATTAAAAAAAGACTCAGTAGAGGAAAAAATCAAAAGGTTCTGAAGCAAGATAAATCTAGTTTTCCTAATATTTTTAAAACCATGTATATCTTGAAGGGTTACCAGTAAGCAATATGCAGTTTTTCCAAGCTCATATTTTAAAATGCAAGTTCTTCTTTATGCAACCTGATCCTTATCTTTGGAGGTCAGGAGGGCTGATAGGACATTCTCTCTTGCTTTCCTCCCTTCCTCTCTTCCTCTGTCGTTTCCTCCCTTGCAGAACTGTTTTCCTTGCTAGCATTATGGACAACAACTTTTTCTGGAATTTTTTTCTTAAACTTGGGTACATATCCTTACAAAAATTTAAACTACTTTCTAATTTAATTCTTGTTTATCTAGTAAGTCTGTGGTGTCTCTCTGTTGTGTTACATTTTTTTGTTGACCAAATGCATCATCAACTTCATTGTTCCTCTTTCTGCGGATCTTAAGGCTGAAAACTGCTATGCTGTAAATAAGGATATACACAATTACTTAGTAGAGCAGTTAATAAGTAATGATCCAACCCTCAGAAATCAATTGCAAAACTCCCACTGAAACCAGTTTCAAAGCTCTTTGGGGCAGCCCCAGTGACTCAGCATTGACTGCTGCTGTCCCAGAACCCAGGAAAGAAATACTCCCTGAACGTGAATGAGAGATTGGCAATTAACTTTACTAGGACTAGGCTTTTCTTTCCACACTGATGGGAGAAATTGTATGTCTTCCACAAGTGCTTATATTTTGTATGAGTAATGAAGCCTCTTGCAGAGAGCTGTGACTATTCCAGAGTTGTAAAAATTCAATCATTTTTATTATGGATTCTAAAAACACTTTGGTGCCTAATTTTCAATACTTAGATTTGAAAAATGTTGGCTGTCATGTCTGTGGTTCTGTTGTGGGAACAAATTCATTAGCATTTACCAAGTGCTTTTACTAAATGTTTGAATGGCAGCAGTACAAAAATGCAAAACTTTATTATCCATACAAATATCTTCACAGCATGCACGTCCATTACTGCTTTAAGCTTTATTTTATTTCCAGGTAGTGCTTGAAATGTATAAAACACACTTTGGCAATGACTACTAAGTAATACCATCAGCCTTTCTTCTGCTAGCAATACTGAAGCTGACCTATGTGAAGTTTTTGAGGTCCAAGATATTATGTGGTTGAAAAGAAAATAAAGTGATGAACAAATGAAACATCAAATTCAGGATTCAGACAAATCTGTGTTCTGTCTGTCTTATCTGCCTGTAGCCTAAGGAAGAGTGTAAGAACATGGCAAAATACAGTGCTGGTGTGCTCACCATGCCTCCAGTGATTTGTGGCTCCAGGTGTCAATATGTGACATTCGATCATTTTATTTTCACTTCTTCTTCTAAACAGTCACCTTCGTACCCCAAGAATTTCTGCTTCTGCATTTTATTGGTGATAAGAGACATCACAGGGCTCCTACAGGTGTCCAAGGAGGGTAACAGTTCTTCTGTGATTGCTTCCCTCCATTCAAATCCAGAGAACAGCAGGAAAATTGCCATGGATACTGCCAAATCATGGATCCTACATAAAGTGTTACCACGTCTCAATGATACTATTTCCTTCCTAAAACTTAATGCAACCAGTCCTTTTTAACTGGTCTCACCCCATCACAGGAGTAACGGCTCATTTCTGTGCATTCAAAGTGACAATCACTTGGTAAGAAGCACTTGAACCTAAGGCAGCTCTCACACACACAACATACGTGCTGCAAACCTTTGTCAGTGGGTGCTCAGAAACTGCACAGAGACACATATCCTAGAGGAAAGTACATATAAGGTTTTCTTATTTTAGACGTGGGGCTGCTTGCCCTCAGTCAGGAAGGGGTCCTGGAACAGGTTTCCCCTCCCCAGGAACACTCCTTGCTTTTCAACTGCAGAAGAGAGGTGAAGACCCAAGCTCTTAAGTACTCTTTTCATGGTCCAAGTTGATCCCCCTTGTAACTTTTCAGCCTGTTTTTTGCTTCAGGTTTCTCAACTCTAAGAGGAAGGTAATGCTTAGTATGTCCTCAAAACCTAAGAAAAATTCTGCATTAAATAATAAAGTGTGTCAGTGGAAGAGAGTGAAAGATACATTTCTATAAAGAACCTTTAGTCTATTAGTAAAGATAACTCATTTGGGAAGCAAGCCAGATTTCACAGCCTCCAAAATCAAGCTGAAGACAGGATTCACCCTAGCTGAGCACTCTGCCCATATACTCTTCAGTCTCGAGGACACTCAGCAGCTTCACTGTTTTTTGTAAGAAACAGCTAACCTTGCCAAATAACTTAAATCCTAAAGTTCTTTCTAGGAGTATACAGCTAACTAATAATTCCTTTCCATCTCCCTCCTTCAACATTTCTTCTTGGAGTTAACTTAGATCTAACTTGGTTTCTCAAAATCTGAGATATCTAACTCTTCCATACTGTGCTTGGAAAGCTTGCGTGCAGCAGGGCACCTAAAAACATGGATGCTACCCTCATGTGTTTTGTGACATCACAGACATCACAGACCTAATTTGTAGAAGTCATGATGCCATGTAACTAATCTGTTCACATCCAGAAGATAATCTACACCAGTCAGCAAGGTTTTTTAAAACATCAGCAGTGTAAGTGAAGTTTAATAGAAGATCCACCACATAAGCTTTTAGCAGAATTTATTTGTGTGGCTATCACTATGATTAAACTAATCTAGAACACATGTCTAGCTAGAAAAATACCTTAAGTAGATAGTAAACTGCTGATTTGCTACTGGTGTCAGGGCAGTGTTATGAACTGTTCAGTGATAACCCTATAAAAAGATGGAATTTTTATTCAAATAGACATGCTATACAATAAACACACAGCACAGATTAAAACACCAAAAGGATCCACAAGTAAATGTTCCACCTTTCTCTTCCCTTCCTTCTTCTCCAGGTGTTTTACAAGAATGCATACTGAACAATAAAAGCACTACCCCGAATTACCTGCTTATTCAAGCATTCAGACTTTGCAATATCAAAAAATTACAAACAGTCCAGAATTGCTATGCTGCAATTAAAGAGACAATTATCTTCACTTTGAAAAGTTAAGAGCAGATTTTAAAAACAAGTGACCTGTCCATATTTCAGCATGGAAGATTTCCAGATACGTGGTAGGACACTTAGATGAAGTATTCTGTCTCATCATCACTTCTTGAAGAGAAGCTTGTAAGATTGACAGGAGTTCTTTTCCATTGCTCAACTGTCTTCAATTCATTAAGGTTTTTCTATTTGAAGTCTCTGTTTTACAGAGAAACCACCTGGCAGTTCTTCAGAAGGTACTTTGCTAGTAAAATACCCTGATAAGATGTTGGTCCAGCCACTGAAGTTTGAGCAACAAAGAAAAATAAATCATTCTGATACTACCCTGTAGAAACTGCAGTCCTGTAATGGCTAATCTGGTTTCAGCTGTACTCCTGATTGATTACTGGAAGAGAAAAGCAAAAGCCGTAAAAGAAAGAGATAAGAGAGTGGCAAAAAAAGACTAAATAGAAGTCACAATCTAACTTTTTCTGCTAATGTTTGATTCTCCACAAACATTTTTATAATAGGCAACTCTACTTTGGGTATGAATTAGTGCTATAATCCTTTTCTTCTTATTTTTTTTCCCAAATAATGACATTTACAACTTCAACAAGTAGGGCATATGTATACAGCTTATATTGTCTTAAACAAATTTACAGTATTTGATAACAAAAACTGTTAAAACTGCTGCTTCAGTCTAACATTTTATATTCTGTTAAGACATTTTTCTGAAGTTAGAGTGGAAGCAAGCCAGCTGCTTGTAAAAGTAGGCTGACTTGTTTTCTTTCTCAGATTCTGGGGGACATGTGTTCTCCACAAAGAGAAACAAAATACTTTATAGTCCAGTTTATAAAGAATTCAGCTTCTTGATTTCCTTGTTAACAAGGCAAATGCATTATAGGCAATGAGGAAGGTGCGACAATCAAAAATATATTCCACATGTCTGCTGCTGCTCTGCTCTACACACAGAATAGGTTACTTTTGTGCTTTGCTTACCAGTCCCAGTGTGAAAATGCTCTTGATATCTCAAGGACCTCAGCTGCTGTTTCAGTGCTAAATTTTTGATCCTGACATGTAACAACCACAGCTGCTCTAACGTTTTCTGAATTACAAAGCAGAAACAATTGTATTCAATTAAGTGATGGGATACAGGCTTCTTGAAGCATAGCTAATAATCAAAGAGAAAGAAATACACGTTCTTTAGGCCATGAAGTATACTGAGGCATCGCTCTCAAATAAAAGGACAAAATCTTGCATTGCAAAACTTTTTCAGAAAGCCACATGAAAACTCATTCTTAGAATAAAGGAAGTTTAAATTTAGGAAATGCTTACAAACAAAAACAAGAAGAGAATGCAACTTCTCTAACCAAAGAGTCCACAAGACAGCTAGCCAGCATTTCACATTCTCTCTGAAAGAAATAGCATGAAAACACAATTTACACATATTTCCACTCTGATGGTCTGTTCCCAGCTGTTTTAAGGGACAGGGGGATTCATTTTGCTCATTGATTGGATGACCTATATGGTCTATTTCATTTACATAGCAAGTGGCTTTACTACGCAGTCAAGGTAATATAACTGCATAAAATTGTTTCAATAAATCAGTGCTGGACCTATCTGCCAGAGAATCAGCTTTTTTTTTTTTTTAATCATGTATTTTAGTGGTACTTTTCAAATTACAGAAACTGTTAAGGAATATCTCTGTTGATATATCAAACTCTGGAGTAGTTTCTCTGATTAGATGAAGTTTGCCTTGGAAAACATTTTCTGGGGCACCCAGTGCTGGAGAACTAGAATGAACAGTTCAGTATAAGAACATACTGGCAAAAAATGTGTATCAAGATGGCCAAATAAGCTAGTCTTACAAATACAGCTTTTAACTATGTAAGAGCCACTAGGGAAATGCCATTAAATATAGTCACAGCCCTGACATTACTATATGACCAAACTACATAAGGGTGTACCTGACCTAAAAAAGTACCTGTGACTCAGCTAGAAATTAACTGAACAAAAGTTTAGAAATTAACTTGAGAAAAAAAAAAATGAAGACAAAAAAGCCAACAGATAATTAAAGTCCATCTTCCCCAAGTGGAAGATATCAAGGAAATGTTAAAAAAAAAATAATTTAAATATCATTTAAATAGCAATATGACAATTAACTGACAAAAAATCCTGTTAATTTTTTTATAATGCATTAGAGAAAAAGTCTGCAAGCTATTAATAAAAGAGTAGAAAATTAAAGTGTTTGTGATCATATCATTAACACTTGTTTTTATCCTACTCTACATGGTCCTGGTTTTGGCTGGGATAGAGTTAATTTTCTCTTAGTAGCTGGTACAGCAGTTTTTGATTTAGCATGGGAATAATACACTGATGTTTCCGTCATTGCCAAGGAGTGCTTATCATAAGTTAAGTATTTTTCAGTTTCCCATGCTCTGCCAGTGAGCAGGTGCATGCAAAGGCAGCTGGGAGGGAGCATGGCAAGGACAGCTCACCCGGACTAGCCAAAGGGCTATTCCGTACCATAGAATGGTGTGCTCAGTATATAAACGGGGGGGAGCTGCCCGGGAGGGGAGATCACTGCTCGGGAAGCATCTGGCTATCTATCAGCAGGTGGTGAGCAATGCCATTGTGCATCACTTGTTCGTTTTTTGTGTTTTTTCCCTTTCAGTTTTATTTATCTCTATTTGTTATACCCATTTTCATTACAATTATTATTTTATTATTATTATATTTCAGTTATGAAACTGTACTTATCTCAAACCTCAAGTTTTAAATTTTTCTTTTTTTTTATTTTCAATTTTTCTCCCTTTCCCAGCGGGCAGAGTAGGAGTGAGCGAGTGGCTGCATAGTGCTTAGCTGCCAGCTGGGCCTAAACCAGGACACACACCAAGGGAAGGCACTTCAGAATGTTTACTAATGTTCACTACAAACTGTAAGTTCTTTTTTTTTTTCTGGGTATTTGATTATTCAGCACTCATAGGAAAAACTGTCTGAGCACTCTATCATTTACCATGCAATTTCATTATATTTGACTTTCTTTTAAATTTGTTGGCATTAAAAAAAAAACATTGTTCTGCACTTTTTTTTTCTTTTGCCCCAACACTTTCCTGAACATATGTACATCTGGGTGGTACTATACCAGGCTGGTGATTTATGGTGCAGGTGCTTTGTATGTGTATTTTGAAGCACCACTCCTACTTCCCTTTAAATCTAACAGCGTATAGACTTGCATGACTTTGAGTAATTTAGCCCATTATATCTGCAGGTTGTTGTTCTTCATTTTCAAGGATAAAGCATAAGAAGTTAAGATCAAACTAACAGAATGTTATTCAACCGTCCTTTCTCTCTGGTGGCAAATGTAGAACAAATGATTAGTTACACTCTGCTATGGTTTAGTTGAGACCTTATGTTCAGTGCCAAAGTACTTTGTCTTAATTTAGACCTTGAGCATATAAGCACTTGAGCATGTATTGAGAATTACTCACGAGTAAAGCTATTGACTTCAAAGTTATTGACTACCATATGAGTAAAGTTCAGCTTTCATAAGGTTAAAGATCAGGAGCCATTCAAAAAAAAGGAGGCTAAGAAAGCTGTGGCTTTTGTACTGTTAGGAGGTTTTTCTTACAGAAAAAGATACACAATTGAAACAGTTTTCAGTATTGTTATTCTGGAGATGTCAGGAATAGAAGAATGAAGATATTGTCACCTTCCAGAGATCTGGGTCAGGGTGTTCAAGGTACTGTATCACAGAATCTAGGTTGGAAAAGACCTTGAAGATCATCCAGTCCAACCATTAACCTGACAGTTCCCAACTACACCATATCCCTCAGCGCTACGTCAACTCTACTCTTAAACACCTCCAGGGATGGGGACTCCACCACCTCCCTGGGCAGCCCACTGCAATGCCTAACAACCCGTTATGTAAAGAAATGCTTCCTAATATCTAGTCTAAATTTCAAAATCCCCATATTCTCTGTTGAAATCACTGGTTCCTTTAACTATACAACACTTAATCATCAGCTTTTTACCAAGCTCCTAGAGTCTCAGTCACAGAATGACCCTCAAAGAAATTCTGAGGTAGTTTCCTCGCATTTCTTAGTTCACTGTCCATGTGCAGCCTTTCTTATGTCACCAAGCAGGCCCTATCTAGCATGATCAAGAACTGAATAGGCAGGACCTGGCTCTCCAAGGCCATATAGCACTGGGCCACATGTTTTCCTTTTAGGTACAGAAAATCTGAAACTTGGTAAGGAACCTGGTCTATGAATGACTCCAGTCTCACCCTCAATACAACATAATAGGAAATTCAATGACTAATACAAGACAAGTGTTTGAATTCAAATGGAACGGTGAAGATAAGCAATCCACATTTTAAATTAGTCAACCATCACTCAGCGTAAGGGGGTGAGATGGGGAAATGGTTCTAGATGTTGCAAGGTTGTCGTAACAAGGAACTGAAACGTGTAAGAATACAGAAAACGTATGTCTAAGCTCTACTTCAGAACAGCAGAAGAAATCACAGAACAAGACAAATATATCTATAGCTTTACTGAATTCTCTTTTGAATACAAAATTTCTGTTGTATTGGATAGGGCAACAATGTCCATGTTTTCTTTGTATAAATATGTGCAAAATAATCTTTCAGAGTTTTTAAAAATAAATTAGTGTTCTGTTCTCTTCTTGTCCTTCTTTATCTTTTTGCTCTTTCCTGCTTGTTTAGATGATTCTTCCTGAAATGAAAAACAAGCATTTAAAAGTTTAAACATGCTTATACACCGTGAGCATACTCTCAAGGTCACCCATGGGAATTATTTTTAATATGAACAGTGTGCATAGTTCACTGGGATTTATGAAAGTTTTGAGTTGTATAAGATTTATCCACTCAGTTTCATTAATTTGTCTGTTTATCTTGCTATTTAGAAACTTCTGCCTTCAGCAATGATAAAATTATAGACACAGCTATGCCAACAGATGCATATAATGTAAAAATAATCTAAGTCATTTCCACTCAAGGAAGAGGTTACCAGTATAGGAGTACTTCTGCATTATATTGTAGAACTCCTCCTAGTGTGGATGTGGCCTTACCAAGAAATATACTGTACACCAGCACATTAAAACCACTTCCTTAAGGGAAGCAAACCTATGCTGGGAAAAACAAAATCTTGCCAGTCTTGCTGGATCAACATTGTTGTGTACAGTTTACTCTGACTGCCATTGTCTTGAAAAACAAGACTCTTCTTCAGTAGGCATTCACTGCAAGCACTCCCCAAAAAGCTGAAGGAATCTGTCACTACATCTGACAGAATCTGGCACATTTTAATCTACTCCCTTCTACCTCTTGCACATGGGACGGAAATGGACCCTAACAGGATGTTTGAACTCTGCTATTCTGAAGAGATTTAGTTAAAAGAATACTTTTCCCAAGAGCTACATCTATGATACTAGAGTAATAATTACCATAAATTCTATCTGTTATTTTCCTGATGGACATCAGTAATAAAATACACTTGTTAATACACAATAAAGAAATACAGTCTAATATAAGTTGTTAATTTTTTTTTCATAAGTACTTTCACCCTTCTTGTGAGGGTAAATACTTAAAAGTCATGTTAGTTTCTTTTTATTTTATGAGCAACACTTTCAAATAAGAGAACACTGATAAACGCCCAAGAAGGTAAATCAGTAAGTACACAGAAGCACATCTAAAATGCAATAAGCAAGTAACTGAGAAGTGCAGGGGGAAGAAGGAGGAAGAATGCTCACCTTTCAGCCACAGCAATCTTAGATACTTTCATATAAAAAGGAAAACTGACAGTTGGATACTTTCTCAAGTAGCCATTTGTAATTATTTCCTACTGTCTTAAACTTTCTACTGTTAGCAATAACATACCATAATGTACATTGACATAATTAATATACTGTTCTGAGGATAAAGAAATGTTGGAAAACAAGAATATTAGATGATCAAATGACACAAATCCCTTAGGAAGTAAAATGCCATTTAAAGACATTTGGAACTTTGTCTCCTGAGTTACTGAGGCTCCCTTGAAACATTTTCCCATAATCCTTTCTGTAAAAGTTAATGTTACCTTGTTTGAATTCTTCTAGTCTTAATTTTTTAAAAATCTGATAAATCTGATAATCTTTAAATCTGATCTATAATTCTGAAAACTTCTTTGGGTCTAACGAAGTTTCAATATTTTAAATGCCGACTAGTTACAGCGATTGCCAAACTCAGTCTGCCTACACACTAGAACTGGTGGCACAAGTAAGCACAAGATGCAGCTATTTCCAGTTTTCTGAAAGCACAGAAAGAGGCATTTCACCTTCCCACCCTCCCTCAGCCCACAAATTTGCATTCTGGATCAATGTCCTCAACTGCTGGCAGCCTTCTATTGCACACTTTATGATTACAAACCAGGTCACTAACTTATCGGGAAGTTCTTTGTGAGTCTTTGCACTGATCCTATGCATACTCAGTGCATCAAAGCACCTGGAGGATGACACAGGTAGTAATTACTTTTCTTCCGGCTTCATCTAACAGTGACAATTTACACAAGTTCACATACAAATGCCTTCATTCTAAGTGGCAGAAACTTACCACTGAAGGTACATAGTTGTATTCCACAAGTACATTTCTTGCACAATTGTTTATATGTTTAAAACGATCTGGTCCTAAGAGAATACCTCCATACCAGCGGGATACGACAACTAACACATTGTGGACATTCAAAATCTGTTTTAAATTAAAAAAAAAGAAAGAAAAGTTGTTATGTTTTAAGCAAACATTCTACTGTTGACACTGACTTTAAACATAGAGAAAGTCTACTATCTTGCATTTTTAAGAACAACTTACAGTCAGGTCTGTGTCACATGTGTTATCAGAGGGTAACAAATAATGACAAGTCAGCAGCTGTGGCAAGTTTCCCTCTCCAAGCTTCTACCCAAAGGTAGATGCAAATAAAATGAGTCTGTATATCTCTCAGAAAGGGCACAAAGCTATCTTATGTGCACTACAGTTGCTCACTCATGTGTCAAAAGCTTCAGGCATTACTTAAAGGGAAAATAACTGAGTTACATTTATTCTTCTTCGATACAATGAATTATTTCCAGAGAACCTCTGTCACTATGCAGATTGCCTATCCACATTTTTAGAACCGTTGGTGGATGAGGTTAGTAACAGCCAGAGGACAGGCATTATGCATATAGATACCAAAAATGCCATAAACTAGTACTGTTGCCATGTGCATAACTTAGCAACAGCTCCTGGATAATACATAAAAACCTCTGCATTTTCCAAGTTTGAGTCCTAGTTCCTTAAAACCAAGCAGTTGCTTGAATTCAAACATATATAGAGTTCTCACAACATGAAATAATTACATTAGCAATTAGGACTGAAAGGAGCTAAATGACCTTTATATAGCTTTTTTAAGACTCTGAGCAACTAGATCAAGTAGAGAGTTAAGCAGAAGTAATGATTTATTTTACTGCAATTAAAGGCAACAAACATGGAAGGTGTTCAACAGCTTTACTTCTCACAAAATCTAAACGCGATTTGACTCGACTTGAAAACTAGCATTTATTCTGCCTTACAGCAATTCTTTCCTCAAGATCTCCACATCATCAGCAAACACTAGTAACACAGGGAATGTCAACTGACTTAAGTATCAGAGAGAAACGCACGTCTTGTCAAAATATATGTTACTGCATGGAAATGTGTAGTGATAATCACCAGTTACCATTTTTACTCAAATCAGGCTTGCATGATTAGTGACCACAATCCTGAATCTGTCCCTCAAACAAAGGTACCTGAAATCTTTCTGAAAGGTCTTCAGTTACAAACAGCTTTCTCTCAAGTCCTGCACAGTACTGCACTAATACACCCAGCTGGCTTGGAGCCAGGCAGAGCAAACACAGCTTTATTTGCATAAGGCTGAACAAAAACAATGTGATCTGCAAGGTATCGGGGTGGTTGGGTGGAGGTGAAAAAAATCCCATAAGAGCTAGCTATCAATAAAGCCTTTTAACAACCGTTCATTGTCTCCATTAAAGCAAAAAATATATATATTTGACTAATTTTAACAACAGTACTAGCAGGTTGTGAAAACAACAATATTAGGATTTTAAAATTAAAAGGATGATGTTAAAAAAAACCAAAAAGATTGGGGCAAGTTTTGTGACAGGCATTTTCTACTCTACATTTACACATCGGCCATAAAGTCTATGTACAGACGTACAGCAACTGTTCACAGTAAACAGGATGCCAAACATAGTTGGGAAATTTTTAAACTCTAATTTTAAGTTCAAAAGAATTAATCTAAAATACAGTTTCTTGTAACCGGAAAGTGCTATCTTGACTGATGTGCTAGATTTATCTGAAACGAGATAAGATTTCTACTGCAAAAGAAGAACTATAAGTACAGCAACAACAAGTGTATTAAACCAACTAATTTCCATGCCCATACCATATGTCATAAGTGCTCACAACAGAAAAACTATGAGACATACGAACAGCTAGAAATCAGCCCATAAACTATTTTATCTTTTCTTACAGGTGAAAATTGCACTCCTCTGACCCCTACAGCTGTAGCCTTCCAAACAAAAACATTTGCAGTAACTAATGATAGAAAGAGATGATCCATATGATTTAGACACATGCACATTTGAAAGGGGAAACTTCGTGTCACTTTCTAAACTGGATTTTTATGGAATGTCTAGAGAATGTAAATTTGATAGTTTTCAAAAGTATACATTAACATGCTGAGAAAAAGCTGATAAGCTCAGAACAAACTGAGGTACAGTAACTGCAGAGTTATTTCTTTACATTATTTTTATTACAATAATTTTTTCACGTTTACCACATATTTGCATATATTACGTAAGTTTTCTATCCCAAATCAGGTTTGAGTTACTTAGGAAGTTTCAAAAAGTTCTAAATTAAAAATGTCCAAATATTTCCATCAATTATATTTTTTTCAGAAAAAAAACCCAACCAAGCTTTGAAATAAAAAAAATTTTTAAAAGCTTTAAAACAGTCTCCAGGAACAAGAGTACAACACAGTAAGCAACCAAATATGCAAGCACACAAAGGATGGGAAAAGAGAAACCCTGTTGTGACGGGCACATCAATCTAAAGATCAAAATTAAAACCAATAATTATTGTGCTGATATAGCTAAGTATCTTGAGGCACTGCGTGAGATGTACCCAGCTATCCCCTGTAGTTATTATATTTATGGTTTTACCAGGGCCAGTGAATCAAAATTTATTCATCTCCATTCACATTTACTAGCAACCCTGCTGAAGGAATATTATTTCAACACTTGAAAACTAAAATACATGTGAGTATGAGGGCTAAGGATCCAAAACTGGAAACAGCACAAACAAACAGATTAAGTGATCAAAACAACTTAACTCCTTCGCTTCTACTACCTTTTGCATTAAAACTCTACTCTGCAAGTTTAAATATGCGTCTTTCTATCACAATTATTCAAGGAAACTGAATGAAAGGCTGTGCACAGGTCAGCTGTCACATTCTGTCTGTTTCTTCCAGTCTTCATTTTCTGTATTCCTTACAACATATGGTAAGCATAGGAATCAAAACTTATTTATCTTTTAAACCATTCAAACTATTACTACCACCTGTGAAACACTACTTGTTTCTATGATCCAAGACTTGGAAATCCCAATATACTACACACATGCAATAGTCTGTGTTTTGTCTTTCACCTTCAAGAACTGGCTACAAGCAGAGCAAGAATTAAAATAATCTTCTACAAGTTTATTTACACTGTAGTGATTTTTGAAATCTGTTCAAGATTTCCAAAAGTCAGATTAATTTCTATAACCTGCATTAGATGAAGAAGACGTCCACCTGCTGCTGTCTCCCCATCATCTTCGCAATCCTGTAAGAATGTCTGCTTATCTTCACAGTATATTCTTAAAAAGAAAAAAAAAAAAATTAAAAATTAAAAATGAACATGAAACAGATTAAAAAAATGTCAATCAACTAACATTTTTACATGATTAATGAAGTCTCAGAGATCTTTCATTTGCATGTGTATCAATTCTAGTTCTCTACTAAGGACATTTACATGAAAACAGGATGAGGCTTAGGGTAAACCACAAATATTTATCTGTACAGTAGGACAAGTTTTGAGAAGCTTTTACATAGACTTTTGCTAATTTGGGTTAACTCCAGAAACATTACCAATGTAAAGTCCCTAATCAGAAAAATCCTTAGATTTTAGCCTAATAATTACACCTAGCTGAAACCAACTCTTATCAGATACAAGTTCAAACTACGGTACACACACACAAGTTGGAAGAACTCAGACAAAAATATTATGAATACTTAAGTCTATATCTCAGCAGCAGTGTGAAACTAGTACTGAAATTTGCCTTCAGATTCTCCACACCATCTTCTTCCTCAGGGGGCACTCCAGGAAACTTGTGGGTATTGTTTCATATAAAGGATAGCTGACCAGGTCTAATTTTCCAGAAGCAATGCTCAGAGGTCTACTGTTTGTTACCAATTGATTTCATGACTTCCAAAGTTAGTTAATACACAAATGACAAAGAGGTTTCTGGTACTAGATGACAAATATGAAGCAGTAAGTACATTTCTGTTGCTTTTTTGAAGTGGTACGAGTGAAAGAAGGTGGATCATCAGTCACAACAACAGAAATCCCCTCTTTACAGAAACTTTTTACTTAGGTAGATTTTTTTGGTAAAGTAGGCTCTCAATTCATGTTAGGATCACACCAGGACATGCATGAATGGATCAGTGTCTATACATGCTTTTCCAGATGACTGGTTCCTCTCATAGTGAAAGAAGCTCCTTTCACTGTCCTCAGAAAACCTACATCACTATCTGGACTGTGACCAATTCATTTCACATAAGCTTCATTCACAAAAGTTACCAGAGGCAGACCCCTGTCAAACTCATTTTTACCTTTTTCTCATTTTCCCTGAATTGTCTCATATTTCAACTGAAACTTCACATGCCAGACATCTGCATCAGGCTTGCTGTTTCAACTGTTACTTCAGGATGATGTAGAATTTCCATGCTCACACATACTATACAAAGTATAACAATACATGTTTAAATCCACTTCTAGGGTTTTTTCTATCCCTAATGTTGCTTTACTATCTTAACATATTTCCTACTACATGTTCTACTTTCTTCTCCTCAAATTCAAAATAAAGTCTAAAACCTTTAGACATACAAATAAGAAACCTATTCCATAAAGATTTAATAGCAATGAATTTCTTTTGATAGACTTTATTTCTCTCATGTCCTGCACTCATTTGTCAAAGAATGCTGAAAAAAAAAATCACTACACATCTCTCACCTGTATGCATATATGTTGTGGGTAGCACTTGCAATTTTCTTATTCTCATATAGTTTTTCAAGAACTCTCTTTACCTTAAAAAAAAAAAAAAAAAAAGAAATAAGCTTCCCTTTACTATGGGGATTTCACACACACCATCTCAATATCACCCCTAAGCAAACACCTCCTTCTTAATACTATAATGAAACAGTTTTACACCTTGACATAAAGTAAATTAAATATTCAGTGTGACAACTCAAGAAGCAGCTTCTCAGCTTCCAACTTCTCATGCTGTTTTCAAATCATTTTTCTGGGATACCGAAAACATCTGTTCCTTGAATTTGTACATTGTGTACATTCATATTATTGCTGAAGATGTAAAAGAGTGAAACTGCTTTACTAAAGAAGAGAGACAGTAAGATCTAGAAAACATTTTTAATCGGTATTAAGTATCAATTACATCTGCTTACTTTCTTCAACTCTAACATTAAGCTGGAATATAACAGCACATGTTTTCCCGTTATATGCTGCTTTTACCTATTTCATGAAAACATGATGTTTAGAAAGCTCTACTATGTTTTGAGTTTTCCTTTTCCTCAGAGTTTCTATTTCACAAAAAAGAATAATTAAAAAAAAGTTCTATTATGGATCTGAAAGTGTATTTCCCAGAAACCAGATATTCTCACCATGTCCATCTCTCTGCTCTTAAGTACCACCAAATTCAAAGCATTTATTAATGTCAGTTCATGTTCTGTTTCTAACCTTTCTGTTCTATTTCAACCCTTTCCATTTTGGTCTGGCAAAAAGGAGAGCTTCCATCAAGACATTGTTTGAGTACATAATACAAAATTAATACTACTTTGAGCAAAGCATTACTGAAGTTGAGAAAGCTTGGGAAAACATGCTTGGCAAGTAAATTGCCTTCTACTCCAAAAAAAACACCTTTAAGGAGTAGTCAATATACATTTAATATCTATCTTAGCAATACTGTGCTCTTTCCAATTCTTCTGAAGGAATTCAACTTACAAAAATCACCTAAAATATAAGACACCTCAATAAAATAAACTCCTATTATTAATGGAGAACATTGCTTCAGACACCTGTTTTCTTTCCCCCCCCCCCCTAAAGGGGAATATTGAAAAAAGACAACTTATATTACTTAATACACTTTCATAAATATTTTTCAATACATGGACTTAGGGTACAAAGCACATGAAATGATCATCACCTTTGATATTATTTATTTGTCAGCTACCAGGCTCCTAAAAACATACTTTAAAGATTCATTATGTGTCTGTATTAGCAATGAACCTCCAAAACAGGCATTTTACAGCTAAGCAATAGTTTATTCTTTTTCCTGTTGTAGCTTCTGAGCCTTTTTTTCCCCTCCTGTTCCCCTCTATTATTTCTGCTTTAGGGAATTAAAGGATGTAATTCCCTGCACATCAGTGAAGCACCTGCTCATAAAAGACACAAGATGCTTAAACAATTCTTAACAGTTCTTAACAATTCTTGAACAGTTCTTAATCCCACCTTTCTAAATCAATGTCCAGTCCAAGAACCACATACATTTACAATGTCAGAATAAGCCAAATTGAGACAAGGAAAAGCAGCGGTACCAAACACAGCCTGCTACCTGCAATAGGCCTGTCACTGTCTCTGCCCCATAAGGTTTATGGTAATATATTCTGTTACATGGGTAACTATAGTATTACTCTGGCTATAATTATTTAAATCTACATTGGAAGTTAAGTTCTGCTATTAAAAATACTCAATAAAAGAATCTACACAGCAATCTGTGTACTGTCTTAAAATAGCAATGAATATCATTGCAGCATATAGATTATACAGATAAAGTATTGTGGGCACATACTAACCTCTTCAGCTGACAAAGAAGTCAGCCTTCCCTACAGGTGCAGTATTTACCCCATTCCTCACCTCTTCTGGCTTTCTTTCAGAAAAATTAGTTCATACTACAGTAAAGCTTCCCTGCAGTCTGAAAACCAATCACCTCATACTACAGCAAGACTGTGAAACAAGATGAATTTGACATTTGGGAAACTGGTCTATCTTTGTACTAACCACATACCAGTAAGTCTTGATTGGAAATTCCTAGTTTTATTGAGCATATATTGTCCTTTAAAAAAATCGTAAGAGAAATTAAGAATGTCTTTGCATGCAAAAGGGAAATCACTAACCTGATTTAAGTGAGTACTATTTCTTAACACACACCTTTTGGAAACCCATGTTTGTGGCTACAGGCTTCCTCCTAAGCAGGAACAACCTTACTCAAAAATCATGATCAAAGAGCAAGAGTTTCTTAAAATGAGAAAAGGACATTAAGCCAATGATTCCAATTTCTTCCTTTTCTAAAGCAACACAGTTCATAGGGACTCGCAGGTCACAAGGGTCTGAGCACAGCTAAGAAAGTCCCTGAAGTGCAGTACTACTTTAGTGAAAATGGTATCATACTGAGTATTCTGAAACACTGAGTTATTCCACATTAACCTAATAAATAAAATTACTTACCCTTTGCAAGCAGTAGAACAGCTCAAAAAAGCTGAAAGTGTGTTCAAAAAGCTCAAGTTGTATCCAGATAGAGAAAAAAAAGGTAGATGACAAGATAGATGTGAAAAGCACAGCACATTTTTGAAGGTGTAAAAATAAAATTAGTAATTCCTTTCCTCAAACCCTTAAGAAGCTGAATCTTACCAAAGATCTTCACTGCCAGCAGATAAATATAATACATATAAAAGAATCACTTAAAGAAGATACAGCTGTACCTCAGAAACCTAAACGAACGTATAGTATATATGAACTTAAAAGATCAGGCAAGGATGATATAGTAGATCCTTACCACAAAATAAGGTTGAGCAAGCTGATGAATAGAAACAGATCAGTAAAACCAGATCTTATTTATTTAAAAATGTAAAGGGAATTGGAGTATGAAGCTGCTGAACTACAGCTAAGGTACCTAACCTACCAGCTAAAACTCTTTCTGCAGGAGAAGGTGACTGATACAATACCAACATCTCAAAAGTACTCCAGGAAGGATGCAGAGAAATAAAGACCAACAAGTCTTATGTCCATACCAGGCAAACTAATGAGGAGGAAGGAAAGCCCAGAAAACCAGACAGCTTAAAACGTTACAGCTTTTGTATAGAGAAATATGCCCCAAAACCCTGTCAATCTGTCAACATTCTTTCAGAGTCACTAAGCATGTAGTAGATCAAGCTTACTCAGAATTTCAAAAAGCATCTGACAAGATTCCTTGCCAAAAACTCTTAAAATAAAAGCTAGAATTGGATAAAAGGAAGGAGGAAAATCATCTCAAGGTTTAACTCTTGGTTAATGACAAGAAAGATGAGAAGATCAGTAGTTTCCCCACTAAAGAGGGATCAAAGGAGACAGATGTTAATAGATGCAAAGTGATGTACCAAGTGACTCCACACTAGTTATAAGTATTTGCAAAAAGAGATTTTGGGGTTATATCAGGCATTTCTATGGAAACACCAGCTCAGTGCTCAGTACAGGTCAAAAAAGTGAACTGGAAGGTATTACTAGGAAAAGAACATGAAAAACAGAAAAACTCTTCACACCACTCTACAAATCCATGGAGTGATTGCATCTTCAACGTTGTATATAGTTCTAGCCTGCAATTCAAAAAGTTTACAGCATACTTTACATGTATCACAGCAGGCTGAGGACCTGAAACCAGAAAACTAAGGTCTATAAAATATAAGAGATGTCTACAAAATCCAATCACACAGAGAAAGGAGAGGTGCAACAAATTTATGTGTGACTGACTCAGAGCAAACACAGGAAGGTGTATTTTCATACAAAGCTGTGGATTCTGAAAGTTAACTGTGGTGCAAGAAGCAACCAGAAAAATTCCACAATGGGTAAAAAAAAAAGATCAGTTATATTAAACACCAGGATACTTTCTTTACCTTGTTTTAAACTGCTGAAAGGGGAATCATAATGGGAAACAAAATGTATCTGCCCTTTTCTAGCACCCAGTCTAAGTCTACATTCACCAATGATTTCTGCAAGAGACAAACAACTGCAGACATTTCTTCTAGTTGTAGGCAAATACAACTCTAGAAGCATGCTTACCCCTCTCTTAGGTTTTGATAAAGATTTACTTATACATTATTCAAGTGTATTTTTCAACAGAATTCCTTTCTGAAGGATGGAAAACATTTATAAAGTCATTTTCCAAGTAACACATGGCAGATGCTGAGAGATATGGTGTAGAAGAGAACCTTGTAGAGTAGGGCTGATGGTTGGACTTGATGATCCCAACGGTCTTTTCCAACCTGAATGATTCTGTGATTCTATGACTCAGCAGCTTCCAAATACCTTACAACAAACTTTCCAACATCCAAAAGTCAAATTTTTATGTTCTTATTCTCTTAAATGTAACGCATGCAATGGTAAAAAACAGCAAGAAGCACTGCAGAGCTGATATTTAGCACTATTAAGATGATACTGAAAGCAAGAAACTGATGACAACTCAGACTATTATATTAGCACACAGAGATGCAAAGACAGACATATCTGGCTAATTCCAAGTATTTCAGTAATATTCTGTCAAGCTCAAAGTGCAAACAAGAAGAGTAGAATTGATCTCTACTAACTTGTCTGGGTGTCACCACAGGAGCCAGATGTGCCTGGAAAGTACTCCTTCGGTCTGTGATTGGGTTTCCATGATGTATGGATGGTAGTTCTTCATCTCCTGATCACAAACAAGGAAGTTTGTTTTCTTTTTTGGGTACTGAAACAATGTATATGGCTACATAAGTAAAGAATGTCTCAACTTTAAAAAAGAGATACGTTAAAGTGAAGTACACAAGATGACATATGGAACCACCAAAAATGTGTTAGGGTTTTTTTTTAATTACTTATTAACCTTTATTATGATTTTAATGTTATTAATTTTACTCCAAAACTGAGTAGAAAATGAGAATCCTAAGGCGTCTCTCTTAAATTATTTCATCAGAATTAACAAGGGCATATTTTTTACCTTCTTGACTTTCAGATGTAATGTAATTTAACATTTTAATTGGGTCTTCCTGAATGGGCTGACAGTCTAGGAGAAAATCATCTCCATCACCTTCATCAACTTCTTCACTGGTTTTCTTAATATCTGGTTCTAGTAAGATACAAGTAGCAGAATTTATTGCACAGGTTTTTTTCAAGACAAGTAAGACAAAATTTCAAATCCTTTTTCTCAAAAATCTCTGGCTTCTCAGTTCAAATCAGTTTGCCACTAAAAATTATGAAATGCAGAATAGTAACATGAATTACAACAAAATCCAGACATTCTTAGTCCAGTATTAACTAAAATCTTCCTTAGAACTAAGAATACAACACTCATGCTATGAAATCTTTGCATAATATCTTGTTCCAGTACTAATTAGCAGTATTTCTAAGAACAACAATAATGTTTACAATTTCCATTAAACATTTACAATGCTGCCATTAATTTAATCTGAATTTAGAGACCAAAATAAACTGATGTTTCACAAGAACTCCAGTCATTTACTGGTCATTTGGGGAAAAACGTAGAGCTGTTGTTCAATGCTACTTCATGAGGTTATAAAATCATTATATTTGAAACATCTCTCTGGACATGTTTCAAGCACTCCGGAATTCCCAAAATCCTATTTTCCTTTATGCATAGGACATGCAAATAATAATAGTCAATAGCAGAAGAGTAAATACCACACGCAGTTAGTGCTCCGGCAACTGGATTTAGAGGGAATCTACCATAAAGACAAGTTATTAATAATATACCACAATCTATCTTCCTATTTAGAGAGCCTATAATGTGGTGATGATGCAGTTTTTATAACACAAGTATCTTCCATTAAAAAGGTGAGAGGTGATATAGCATGTTCAAAAGGCCTAGAAAAATCATTTAGATTTATTAAGTAGAATCCATGAGGTTGCTGTCAAAATACCCAACAAACTTCCAATACTGTCAGTAAAACTGTCACTTCTCAGTATCCACTCCTTCGAACATGTCAATGAAAAATGACTTTTTAAATGTCTGATGTAGCAAATAAAGGCACAGTTTACTGAGAGACAAAAACTAGACCTTACCATAGAGCAGCACTGAAAAGATACATTATTTTTCCTTCTTCAGTCTTATTCCTCACAGGACTAAGCTAACATCCATGACACAGAAAAATATTTCTATTTCCTTTTGCCACAAGTGCATGCATGCCACACATGCATTTCATAGCAGTTTAGCAAACACCCCTCCCCCCCACTTCTTGAAAGAACTACTGTGAATTTACAGAAACTCACTATAATTTACACAAAATCACTGTAAGAGAGAATCACTGCAACTCTAGCGATTCTCGTTCCAATATAGTGAAATACAATTAAGATGGAATACTTGGTCATTTGTCTGCACATTCCACTGAATTTTATCTTCTCTTGAGGCTAATCCCAATCCTCCAAGAGTGCACTCAACACCAGAAATTAATTACTGATATGAATGATCCCTTTGCAGAACAGAGGACAACACATAATATACCTGTGTGCAGCACTCTGCTTTCATGCAAGTAATTTAATTCCTGAGGGAACTGAGGACCTTGTTCTAGTTCACTGAGGAGAACTCCACTCCTTTTTTTCCCGTATTGCTTTTTAAAAAGCTATCAGTGTAAAACAATAAACCATGACATTGGAGACTGCTATTTTCTGTTATTTAGATCCAATACAAAACTGGGCATAAAGCTTTAACTTATAATGAAATTTTACTTTGCAATTGAACAAGAAGTAAACTGAAAAAACTCATGTATTTTCTGAAGTACCTGGATCTGAAGACCGTGCCTTTTCTATCAGAACGTCTCGTATCTTCTCTACCCATAAATAAAGTATACTTTCACCAAGGTTCTGTCTGGAAGTTAAAACTCACAGTGAATGCAGAATCATTTTCTGTGGATTTCACTTGTAAAGTACACCAAATAACATATAAATTTCAGACATGCAGAAATAGAACATTATAATATAGTGAGATAAAGAGCTTAGGCTTGTGGGAAGTGGTCTCAGTAGTTCACTGGTTGAAATACATAATATCTGCATCAATAAATACTCCTTTGTGGCTTAGCTTTACTTTTTTAATTGTCTTTTTTAACATTAAAAGCACCAATGCTGGAAGAAAACAGGCAACTGACAGAAACTTTCTGGCCACCAAGGAAAGAGAACACAACTGCAAAAAGAGAAAGTTGGACAGTCCTCAATATTTTCAGAAGAATACTAAGCTAGGATGTCTAGCCTTCAAGCTTGCTCTGGATCAGTTTTCTCTACAAAAAGCACTGTACTGCCAGTGGGGAGCTTCTTCAGCTGCCCTGTGGCTGTAGGGGACTCCTTCCCTTCATGTTTGGGAGGGAGGCTCTTCCTTGGAACAGGTCCACTTCTCTTCCCCCTCAAGCAATCAGTGCACACACAGCAGAGGCTGACCTTGGTTGACTGTGATAGTAGGTCAGTGGCAGTAGACACGCTGGAGCATTGGACTGATACACTAGTTTGGGTAACAAGCCGTCCTATAGCACAGGGAGGCAAGGATTTAGGTCTAGGAGTCCTTAGTCATGGGGCACAGGTGTGTATGAAGGTACTGGGGTTGAATGGGATGAACACGTTTTTTATGTGCATATTCAGAGTTAAGAAATGCTGCCTTAATGTGCAGCAGGACCCAAGCAACTCAAAATGCATTTAAAATGGTGTCCTGAAAAGTCATCTTCGCAAGTGTATTTTAATATGCTTATGAACTGTACATGTTTGTCTCAAAACTAAAGATTTAGGACCACTGGCACCTTATGGTTTCTCATTAATTTTATTCTTACTGCCACCTTCTGGGGCACCATGTAAGTACATACTGGTGACAAAAACATTTTTAAACTCTTACTTTGCTTAAAGTACACAGCACTACTGCTGAATACAATCAGAAATTCAAACAAATATATATATTTTAAGAAAAATATTCAAGGAAAAATAAGGAATTTAGACTTGTAGCTCTGTCTTCAAAATCTGGACAGACTCCAGAAAAATTCAATGCCCTGATTTCATGCAGCCTCTTATCACACAGAAGCACTACTTTAATACATGAAGAATTGTATTTGTTTTAATAATAGAATGAGAGAGATCAGACAGTAAGATTTCTCTGTTTTTCCGTAAGTAAAATAGCAATTTCTTAAGATATAATCCAATTTCAGTTTCTGCCTATTAGCAATTTATACTTAGTCTGAGAGATTACCTTTCTGTGCTGCTATTTTTCTTGTAACTTGTGTCTAAGTCATGAAACAAAACTTTCTATTGGATAAGTCTTACCAGAAGACTATCTGGGAATAAAAAAAAAACCCAACTGAAATAAAAAACCAAACTTTTGCTACATTTTAAAGAACTTTAAGCCAAGAGAGGCTAGTGATCTATAATTATCCACTTTTTTCTACCTCCTTAAGACAAAAAGAAGTGATTGACAGTATAGTTCATATCATTTTAGATTGCAGAACTATACAATTTAGATCACTAAGGACTAGAAACCTAGTAAAACAACGTAAACGATGCAGAGTACCTGTTTATCTGACAACTATTTAGACACTAGAGAGATAAAAGGCTTTCACACTGTGCACATCAGTTGACTACTCCAGAAGGTTTTTAAACAGTCTAAAATTACATCTGTGGCCTAAAGTACAAACACATTAATTTCCTGCTGACCAAAGAAAAATGAGAGGAGACCAGCAAGGGCTCTGAACAGCAACTGATATAGCTAGAACGGAGCTGCAAGGGACTGATCCAACTAGTACAATTTAACAGCCTACAAGACTGCAGCAGAAAACTAAAAAAGAAAAAAAAAAAAAAGTTAAAAAGTGTTTCACAACCATGCTTCTTCTCACAGTCCTCATGTAGCAACTTGCACCAGATGCTCAGGACATCTGAAGAACCACCTACAGCAGCTCTACCTCTGGTAGAGACTCCAGCAAATCCTCTGATTCAGGACAGTTCTGGACAATCTCTGTCCTTTTTGCTCCTCTGAACAACTGTGGTTAATATGATACCATAGAACTTTTCACTTAAAATCCTCGTACATTTTTAACTCTTCAAATTCAATTTTATTTGCTTAAATTATCTGTTGCTTAATTAGATAAGAAACACAGTTAATCAAAGTAGATGAGAAATTAAATAAAAACCTTCATACAGCTAAGTGCTCTCTTCCTTATTTTATGTCATTAAAAAATATTTCTTATGCTGGATATTCAGGTTTCAGTATTTTGGGCAACTGTGCTTCCTTATGACATATTTTCATTTCATTTAGTTTATATTACCTTTGGGACATGAAAGAGCTAAATAAACCACATAAAATTAGTAGATTTACTATCCCAATTTCACAGCAATTCCAAAACATGTAATTTGAGTATTTCTAAATGTTCTGTTTATTCTTACGCATTCATTATGCACTGTTGTTAGTTGCACACTGTGACAATAAACATTCCACTATGTTACAGACTCTAGTTAATAGATTCTATATGTGTTTAATTTGTTTTAAAAACTATTTATCCCTTAGGTATCTTTTAAGAAAAACTGTTTGGCCACTTATGCTCTAAGACATAAACAAATATTTTCACATCCTGCAGCTTAACATTCAAATGCAGAATAGATGCAGAAACCTCATACTTGGCACCAATTCATAAGCAATCTCACAGATTCTAATGGGAGTCTGTTCTATTAGGAGTCAAAATTAAAACTTCTATCCTTATAGAACATCAGGTCCAAACAATATAAAAGAAAGGTGTCAGAGTTTAACACAATTTGTTCTTGCAAAATGCTTAGTAGATACACGGCACCTTTAACTGTTAGATTTATAAAAGAAACTTGCTCTTTTAAGGCTGTTGCAGCAACCGCTTCACAACTACTAGTTCATGCAGGTACTTCAAAAGCATACATTGAGCAGGGAATGAAACTGAAAATACATTGTCTCATTTTACTATATTCCACAGTCTCTAACTTACACATATATTTCTTCCAAGCTGTTTGCTAGTTCCATATAATCTTGTCCTCGAAGCCAAGGGGCACTAGAATGAAAAGAAATACAATGAAAATTGTGCGCATACACTGATTCCAACATCTCAACAAACATACATTTTAAAATAAATGTGATAAACACCTTGAAAATAAAACATTGTCAATCATTCCCACTTAACAAGATTCCAGCTGCAAATATCTTGGTAAAAGTATGATCACCCCGTTCTCCTTCAAGACTCCTAACTTAGGCCGCCTTTTCTTACCTCAGGTAAGAAAGACGGACTTGTTTTTTGTGGTAGGCCACTGTCACTCCCCAACTCCTTCAGCACCATAGTACCTATTATATTTAGAATGACCCTTCAGTTCAGTACCTGTACCCTCCTGGTCTCATGTTAAACTATAAACTTTGCCTCAAGTTTACCAGTACTATTTTGTGTTGCCTTGTCAATACTGCTGACCAAAACTCAGCTGTGTGTGCGGGTCCCTCTTATCATCCAAATCAGGGACCTGGCTTATACATCTCCATTCCCATCTCTTTTACATGCCAGAAGACAAGGGGAGTGCAGGGAAGGAAAACAGGAAGATGGCTCATGCCATGGCTCCCACTCAACAAGAGTCAGTGCTCTGACAGAAAGTGTGCTTTACAATCTGAAACAAGGATACAGACAAGAGGGGTTACACCCAAGGAAGTGAGGAGATGTCACTGTCCAACACAACAGGCCACCATTCCTCCACAGTCTAATTGTTACCTTGCCACAAAATAATGCTTCAAGAATTAGAGTTGAGGGAAGAGAGCAAACTGTCATAGGGAGCTCCACGAGAATAACTTGGGAGAAAAAACACAATACTCTTGTTGGAAACATCTCCCATCCCCAGTATACTTTAATTCAAGGAGTCATCTCAAGTGTTTACAGTATAAGTTGAAGTTTAACAGCAGTAATTCAGAAAAGAAATATAAATGTTTGAAAGAAAATTTCACTTACTTTAGTTGATAAATAGGTGGCTCTGCAGTTGGATATCCTGGCGGCAAAATCACCTGGAAGAAATTCAGGATAAGTGTTCACTGGACTACCCCTTTCAGCTAGCTAAGCTTTACTGATGGACTCTGATGTCCAGCACTGACTAAAATCAGTATTACAAATAAAGAAAATAGTTGGTTATTTTTTTATAAAATGACAAGAAAATCTGAATATCTGTAGTTAGGATTCCAATAGTGGTAATGCATACAAATACTGCATTTCATTATGCCATTTTTGTGGATGAAGTGTCATGCAAAATAAATTGCAGTAGAAATCTGAAAGGAGCTGCATACATGGTTACTGAACTTATGTAAGTGCCACTGCACTTCCATAAGTAAATACTCCACTGTTTGTTTCACTAAGTAAACTTATAGTTTTCAGTTCTGTAAACATAAAGTAGGAAGTTACTCAATTAAGTTGGTCCAATTTTCATTTTGTCTCCACACTTTCTAAAAAGTAAAGCTAGAAACAACTGCAGCAGATTCACCGATGTGTCCTACACAAAGTCAACATAAAAAACATTTTTTAAATTAGTCTTTGGAGAAAAACACCAAAATTAGTTTGTGTCAGGTGTGGAATTAGGATACGTAACTACTGAAAATATCACAAGTACACTGATGCGTGTATAGGAACAATCGCTAAAAAAACTGTGAGATTCCAATCCAAAAGTTCTTTAATCCATTTTAGCAGATAACGAATCCTATTTAAAAGGGTTTCATGCAGGCACCAGACTTTGCCTGCATCAGCCCGGCTGCAAATTCTGTGCCAAACTCCTTAACACCACTATACCTGCAGACAGAGGGTCCATTTTGGTTGATCCAGACAGTCATTAATCTTAATACAATAGATTTTTTCATCTTCATCAACAACACACCAGTCTTCACCATATATGGATGAAAGGGCTTCAATCTCATCCATCTAGAAAAAGCATTATGCAAAAATAAATAAACCCCCCCAGAGCCCACAATCTTGTGTGCCCATCACAGTTTTAAGTCTTTCTCTTCTACAGTTTATTTACAGCTGTGACAAGATTCACTACACTGGAAGGCCATAAATATTGAGGATCCAGTCACGATTCACAGCATAACTGTTGCTGAGTTCTTCTGTACATGCATCAACTTCTGCGTTCCTATGGATAATCCCGTAATTCTCAGCTGTGACAAGGTGAGCAAAGTGACACGGAGCAGCTATACCACATCCCTGCAGCTCCCAACCTGTGCCGCTCCTCGTTAGGGCGCCCCCCTGCAGGGAAAGACACCAAGGCCTTGGTACGAGCTCTTACTGATTAAGAGTGAATAAAGTCACGCAGCAAACTCCTATAAAAAACGGAGAGCCACCTCCCACACAGAAATTAAACACCTGAAATGGGTCTTCAGTGCGAACGTGCCGTCACTCATCGGTGCCGGCACACAGACAACCGCGCTGCCGCTTGCACAGCACCACGGCCCGCGGGCACGGAGCTCCTCACAAGGCGGGCACTCATCAAAAGCCACCTAAAGCCACCGCCTTCGGCGCGGCGCTCATACGCCCGCCCGAGGACAGGACGGCCCGGCAGGACCGTAGCACCGCGACATGGCAGGCGCTGCTCCCCGCAGACCTCCTCACCCCCTCCGCCGCTCACTTGTTGCTGGGCCGCTCCCGTGTCGCTGGCCGCCATCGGTACCTGACGGCAGGGCAGGCAGCTGCCCGGCGGAGGGCAGTGTGCGCATGCGCCAAGAGGGAATTTTGCGCAGTAGCGGCGATGAAGCTGCCCGCCCTTCCTTCCGCCAGCACTTCCTCCCCACCGACGGGCGGGTGCATGCGCAGTGCTCCTCTGTGAGGCGCCGGTACATGGCCGCTGTCAGGACGGGGGCCGGTATCCCTGTGGGAATGGCAGCGGGGCTCGTCCCGTCCCTCTTTGGGCGGTGTGTCCGTGCGGTTGCCGATACGGCCCGAAGCCCAACTGGAGAGTGGATCGACAGGGCAGAGATGGCTGCTCAAGGGGACTCACCGACTCCTCACGGCAGAGCCGGGCTCCCCTGAACCATTACTGCGTGTTTCTGAAAGAATGAGCGATCTGCTTGTTTCCAGGTTAGGTTTAATTGCTGTCCCAAGTAAAGGAACCAACATATACCTACAGTAAGTAGCCCAAATAAGTATGTCAAGGTGTAGCATTAATAAATTGATACAAAATCTCCCTCCGTCATGCATTGCCACTGAATCAAGGTTACACACTGGTCAGGTGATATTTTTGCCTTATTCATTACATCCTGTTTTTAAAATAAAGTTTATAAGTGGTTATAGTGATGATTTTACAGATAGTCATTTTTACTTTGCATTTATGGAACTCAAAATGAGCGATTAGCGTTTTTATAACTACATCATTTCTTCTAAAAAAGTGATTGAATAAAAATCACAGGTGTTCCAAGCAGTTTTCATTACAGTTATAGAAATGCAGTTCATTTATTTAAGACTGACGAGTTTTATGTACCCCTTCTAGATACAGTGCTGATCAGTAAAGATCTCTTTTTTTTTCTTGAGCACAAAGTATGGGTGTCAACTTTTTTTGAGTTTGTAGTTCCTCCATTTTCTTCCAGTGTGTTTTTATAGTGACTTAGTTGTGAAGAATCCAAGGCAAGCTTTGTTTTCCCCTTTCTCAAAAGTTGGGAGGATCTGCACCTGCTCTGGAGAACAAGATCAGAGTTCAAAATGATTGTGGCAAACAGGACACGCATTCTAAAAAAGAAAAACCAACAAAAAAACAGGATGCAACAGAATACTGTATTACCAACTATGTATATTCAGGACAGAGAACCACCAGTTACACTGCAGTTCTGTAGATACTGGGAGTTAAGAGTGAATTCCATGCTAAGCATTTGCCAACAGTGTCATGGTTCTGCTTAAAGGAGAGCTGTCATGCTGGGATGTAAGACATGTAATGTAAGACATGTGAGGTAACCCTGCTTTGTATGGAATTGCTAAAACCCCATCTGGAGTTCTGTGTCCAGTTTTGGACTGCATTTCAAGAAAGACATGAACTGTCACCGAAATGGGGAATAAACTTCTTAACACCAATGTAGCATTAAGAAGCAGGCATTCTCTTTATTGCAGTGCTGGATGCATGGAGGATCACTCCACCTAACATGCATACCGAAAGACAAAGGCGGCACTCAATACAGACACCTAAAAATTAATATTTATAAAATTCCAGAGAAGTGCCTGGTTATTTCCAGGAAATCTAATGCATATGTTAAATGCCTGCCTATTTCCAGGAAACCTAATGTATACATTGTGAGACTGCCTCCACGCATGCTAACTTACTTATCTTGTCAGTACAAAGCGTACTGAATTGGGGAAGGGTTGCTTTTCGTCATGTAGGCTTGCTTATCTTGTTGGTTTGGAGCTCATACAAAGGGGCCTGCTACTGGTATATTAACTAAATTGTTTAAGTTTTTGGTATCATAACTAGAATCTGGATTAAAGAAACTAAATGAGTCATGAATCTAGAAAGCCTGAATTCTGAAAAGACTGGAGAGGAGTTTCTTAGTTTAAAGAGAAGTCTGGGAAAGTAGGCATCCTTAATATGCTACAGATTGCTGCAGAGGCTACATTTTTCTCCCTCTCAGATGTAGAAAAAAATGTGAAGTACAAAGATTTAATTTTGAAGGTTGAGAGATTCAAATCATATGCCATAGAGAATTCGTCAACAGTGAAGTCAGTCATCCTGAGTGAAGAGGGGTGGTGGTGTGACAGTCATCCTGCTTTGCAGACAAGCTGTTGCAAAGGTGGGCACAACACTGTGCTGATGAAGCAACATGTTACCTTACATTGCAGGAAGGAGCATTCAGATAGTTATGAGGCAAAGCTAACCACTGAGGAGTTTAATGAGCCATCATCACTGGAAGGTCTAAGAGAGGTTAGTCCTGGACAAAGATAATCTTGTCTTGGGGCAGCACAATGGGATAGATTGCCGTGAAAGCAGTAATTCCTAGGATGCTTATGTGAATGTATTCTTGGGCTTGTCATTCTACTGGAAATTACATTACCACTATTAATAAACTACAACCCTAACTTGAGGGCAAAAAGATGACAGAGATGGTAAAGAAAGCAAAATTTGGTTCCACCTTTAGACCTAGATTCAAGAAAATATTTCGTTTTCATGCTCCTATTTTGGCTCCTAAATTTTAATTAATTGTAATTTGAAAGTATTTAAGAATATGGACATTTTTATATGCATATCAGAACGTAATGAACAACACTATTGATGCTATGTGAGCCCAAAATCTTAAATCCCATGTTCAGATTACAGGGATAGAAGTTTGAAAAAAAACTTTTTTTTTTTTCCTTAGTTTAGGCAATCTATAGTAATTGAAAAAAAAAAAAAATAGAGCTCTATCCTGATGTTGTTTGAGTACCAATACAGCTAAATATATAGCATTCCAGATGTGAGATTTAAATACTAAAGGTTGTTCCATCTTTGATAAATGGAAAGGTCAAGATCAGTAAAGCTTTGTCTTCAGTGTCATGGACAGAGTTGGTTTAATTATTTTTGAAACAATAATAAAAAAAAATATACCCAGTCTCAGAACATGACAAAAATGCACATTTTATCAGGTGAAGTTACGTATTCCACTTATAATTAAGACAGAGAGAGAAAGGGCTTTTTCAATCAATTGCCTTCTGACCAAAACATAACAGAAAGCTTTAATCTACACAATGACCTAGAAAAGATGGTGCTGCATCTATTTGTTCTAATAATAAATTGCCTTACAAATTTAAAGAAAGAACTATGGCACTACATATTTAAACTTTATGATAGCAATCTCTATATAGTGCTTGTGGTTTCTAAGTTGCTAGTTTGACTTAGCTGAACAAATGAGTTTACATGACTATACACATTATTTGTTATTAAATAAAGTTGTTACGGACATTTTTTATGACTGCTGTTGTCTATAATCCATATAAAAGCATTGATATGAAGGACTTTACAGCCTACCATTGGGCCAGGAAGAAACTGAACCAGGTAAAGACACGAAGAATAAATCACAAAAACTATATGGACTGTAGACATCTCTGACAGATTTCTGAGGACTCTGTAATTTCCTTTCATTGTCAGTTATATTTGTGATAAGTCTTACTAAACTGAAATGGAAATAAATGTTGTTAGTGAATCTCCAACATATTTATATATACTAAATAACAGAGTAGCTGAATTGATATGGTGCACAACTATTAATTTCTTTGTCTGTCTGAAATAAACATTCTATTAAAGCAGGATATGAAATACATATCCATAGCTTTCAAACTAGAGATAACAACATAGTAGAGTTTACTAAAATATTTGGGATCTTCTTTTAGTACATAACTGAACCTCACTGTTCTTTATGGTGAGCCATCTCCCAAATTGTTACTTTCCACAGCCAGTGCATGAACTTTGACATTTCAAATGGTTACTAAACCTTACCTTTGGTCCATCAGTTCTGTCTTTGTGAACTATAGATAGCAAACAAAACATTTAAATCTCAAATCAAATCAATTAAGCAAAAGAAAACCCTGAAGGTCAGGAAGTGGCCAAATCACTATGGGGAATTCAAATTCTTTGTTCTGTCTTGTCAGGGCAAGATACTACACTGTGTAATTACCTTTCTTGAACCAGAATCCAATCCTAGAGCACAAAAAGCTTAAACCAGATACAATAATATTCGCAGTGTTAAGGAAGAAATATTTACATGGAAAGCATAAATAAGACGAATTTTATTTAAATGCAACACATGTAAAAGCTATCAACAATTTTGAAAGAAAAAATTAAAAAAAAAAAAACAACAAACAAAACAAATGCTTTTTGATTTAATTAAATACTACTTACATTCTACTACCAAATCTGTCCTGAGGGGGGAGGTAAATAGCTACATTTTTACATTACCATAATGAAAAAGGAACTAGCTGAAAACACTCATTCTCCCTGTGTATAACTTCAGTTCATATTTGTGAGCTTTATTTGTTGCAAATTTTTTTATCTCCACTAGTCTTTTTTTAACTTCATGATCCAAATTTTAGAAACTTTAGATTTGCATAATAAACCAAGGTGTTACGTAATTGATGTTAGGAAGACAGTATAGAGTTTGACAGTGCAAAGTAAATGCCGATTAGGACTAAAATGCCACAATTGATATGACTGAAGAATTCTGATTTGTGACTAAGAATCACACATAAAGCATACATCATGAAATTTAACTTCACTAGAGCTCATGGGGTTTTGACTGTTAACTTTGATGGGGCCTCAGTATGTAAACATAGGGATAAATCAGGATTAAATCACAAATAATAGAAAAATATAGAACTAAGAAATATATAAGAAGTAAAACATTGGAGTAAAATATCAATAACTCTGCTTGATTTTGCATACAACAGTTCAAGCAACATACTGTGTTTGCAGCTTTTATAAAAAAAGAGGAAGATTAAAAACAAGTAAGGACAATGTGATGTCATGTACTGCCAATTAATGCCCTCAGTTCTATATTCTGTTTTAGAGCAGGATTTTCTTCTACTGGGGCTCTACCAGTACTGTAGATTTATCTTAATAAATGAAAGCATTTTGCTATAGTAACTTACCAACAAACCACAAAATTTTCTCTAATGTTCCAATTCCACTCTACATCCAATATAAATCTCAATCTGGGACATCCAATAAGAAGCATATATATATTTAAGCACAAAGCAGTTCAGCTG